AGATCGTAGCATCATTACCAAAATGTGAATCATAAACATCTACAGGAATTTAATTGGAACAAACACGTGGAATGCCAAGCATTGAATTGGTATTAACTTTGGTGTTTGAAACGTCATATCTTAATGCTGTGTATGATCCGTCATAATTCCTACATGTCAAGAAGAATGAATTGGTATCTCTTGATATCAAGTTTGAACATGAAGACATTGAGTATTATGAAATATATTTCCCTTTCTTCCAACCAAATGAATCTGAAAGTAAGTTTGTCAAGAATAACAACTGAATTGGCAAGTGGAATCGCCAAGAAATCTCTTCCCACAGTCAAAAATGATTGATGAGAAAGATTAAAGCCTAAATTGAAAGTTGTTGTTCTCATTATTTGCCCATTTTGAGGATTAACAGCAGCAACAACATTTGTGAAAGAAATGTGCAAGGTTGGTTGAGCAGAGCTGGTATCTAATAAGAATTGACAACCATGTTCAAGTCCTTCAATCTTCTCAAGCCAAATTGCCAACACCTTAATAATTACCCCACTTAAGCGTAAGTTTATAATAAGATTGAGGAGATAAATCTCCTTTCTCTCCAATTTCATCATTGAGTGTGAAGCAAGAAATATTCTGCAGAGAAGTGAGCTTGAATGGAATTTAATATTATAAATCTACAACTAGAACTACCTTAAATACCAAGAAATTCATGTAGTAATTATTGTAATTCATCAAGCAGGAAAAGAATAGAATCCTCTCAATCGCAAGTTTGGAATTTTTGAGGAGATAAACGTAAATACCTAAGATGTAAAACTTATGGCTCGCCACGTTACCGTCTCGGGAGGAATCGAACCTCCGTCAATGGATTCAAAGTCCACTATGCTACCATTACACCACGAGACGAGCACATTCATTATGAAAATAATGTTCTGATAATCCATATCCGTAATTTGATTCCTTTTATTAATTAAGGGCCAACTTAATTAAACAACCTAGGATAGAAAATAAGCACGTACAAAGGCATGCCAAACAACAACTACCTAAAACTACAGATAACACTACAGTAATGATTAAATTAGTGTCACCATTTTCACACTCATTAATTGGATTCATAAATGTAAAACTGGAAGATTTGTCACACCCAATGTATGTAGTATAATTAGCTCCAATTCTTTGTCTCATTTCCAATTCCATAGTTGATCCTCCACTATTCCAAATATAAGCATCCTTAGTTGAAATAAATGTATTAGCTCCACACAAATCATCACAATAGTATTTAACAGTTATCTGAGAAGAAAGACTTTCATCCTTAAACTTGAAAGTTGCCTTAAATTTTGAATTAACCAAAATATATTGAATATTGGCAAGGAAGTTACTCTTCACTATTGAGTACTTGTCAGTGATAGAAAAGAGAATATTCGTCGTGTAGGATTCACTCGAAATGACAATTATAGTTTGCTTACTCACCACCTGATCGATTATCACTTGTAATTGTTGATCAGTATTCGTTGTTACCAATGGGGCCTGATTCTCACTCAATGCAAAGTAATGTACATTTATATTCTGTTCCATGCTATTCACTATGAAATTATCGTAAATTTGTGATGGATTTCTTCCTTCAGGAATTGAGCTTTTAATTTCAATCATTAAATATATTTAACAAATGGAAGTAAAGAATAATTATTTACATAGGAACATTAACGTACCAAACACCACAAATTCCTATCAGTTTCATAACGGAGGAATTGTAGAATTTCGTCACTACGCTTATCCACACAGTTGAACTTTTCACAACTATAACACCAATGAAGATTAAAATGAGGGAGAGGAGGAAAATTCTAAGCGACTTGCGGAAAGGATAGTTGTGTTGCATTTTTTTATAATCTTGTATGAACTTTTTTAAATGTTAGTTCAATGTTTACAATATTGAGAATTAATGATATGAATGGCCTTGAGAATGAAATATTAGACTACTTTCCTTGGAATGTCTTCCAACAAATTTAGGTACCAAAATACTTAATTTATCTATACAAAACATTAAAGGCTGGGAAGTGCCAAGTTCTATTCGAATTCCATGCCTCAATCACTTGTTCATAGACCATGAGTGGCATTTCATCACCAGGTCTAAAATGTGTATCCAATTTAATCAAATAAACTTCCATTACTAGGAAATGGAATAACACTCCACAGTTCACTAACATGTGCCAAATGGCATGAGCTGCTGGTATTCTACCATCTCCATATTTGAGAATGAAACATCCTCCCGAATAGAAAATACCTCCAATCAATAAGAAAATAAAAGCCTCAATTGGAACGTGTGTAAATAGAGCTGGTGGAATAATTATAATAGCAACCCAACCCATCAAATTCAACAAGACAACACTTTCAATTTGAGGTAAGAATTTGGTATTGTAAGATTTGATGAGTCCAATAACTGCAATACTCCACACCAAAACTGCAAAACCTTTTCCAAACGTTCCATCCTCTCCAAGTGGAACCAGAGCCAACCATGGTGTATAGGAGGCACCAATGAAAATCTTGACAAAATATTCCATAAATTAGTAAAGAATAATACTAGAAAATACTCACATAAATAGTGGCATAATCCATAGATCTGAAAAAATCAACATTTGGGTGATTTTTTCCATAAATTAGACAAACAAAATGATAAGTACTCGAAACTAGAAACAAAATACACATCCCAATACAAAAAACCAATGCCACAAACATTTCTTCTGATGAGTTGACCAAATTTTCCACAAACATTCTATTCGAAAAGTATGTAAAAATGGCTATTGGCAACAAATGAGTCAATACATTCATTGCTTCCTCAAATTTAGTTGGTTCATAATCATCAACATTACCAGTTGCAGGGAATGGATTCATAATTTGCATTAACCCACAAATAGCACATCCATTTCTCTTCCTTTTTGGATTTTGATGATGAATATGCTTTGTATTGGTATTATCGTGATGGCACTCTTTATGATCATTGGACCTTTTGCAACAATCATCACCATGATGGTGATGATGATCTTTACAATTATGATGATGCTCAATCTTTGAGTCTACTACACTTTCCGATGTCATCTTTATACTACTAAACATTTTATGAAATTAAAATGATTTTATGATCATCACACGGATAAAAGTTATAATCAACACGTTATCCTAAATCTTTCAACCTACCAAATTAACAGTAATGATGAAAATCTTTCAAAACAATGTGATGGTGGATAAATTTGAAGTTTTCCTATTTTTTTGAATGTTTTATAATTGAGCTTTTTCATGCGAGCGCTCAAAAAAGCCAACTTGACAACTGTGGAAGATTTTTATTGTAGTGATAGGTATGATAAATAACCGTTAGATGCTTAATACGAAACAGCTTGTTTTTGGTGCTTGGTGAAAAGGAAAATTCGTTGAGGAACATTTTTGAAATACGGTTACAAAGTTTACAAAATTTCAAAGTGAAGTACTTTGGTTGGTCCATAAACTTGATCATTGAATTGAGAGATGGCTTGTTGAATAGTTGTAATATTATCCAATTTTTTTGAGCATAAAGAAACTTTTGTCAGATGATTTTGAATAATATCCAAAAAAGGTTTTCCCAATAAAACTTTCTTCTGATCCAACTCGAATCCTGTAAATGTTTCCATTGGAAAATAAGTATTATTAGGATTTAGTGTTTCATATATTGGACATTCAAGATAAATAAACGTTAATAGAAGGAGAGCATCATCTGCATTCTTTGCAAATCCCAACAGTGGTAAAACACTGTATATACCTTGTGCAACATGTTTCATAGTAAATTCTTTGTACAATTCTGAAATTTCATCTCTGACTTTTGGATTTAAATGTTTGTGTGCATTCTTTTTTTTATAGAAATGATCTATTACTTCTCCTATTGTAAAATTTGCCATTTGGTGCTGCCTTAGAAAATCACATAATACCCCCATAGACCCACCAAATTTGTTAACGAAATTTTCTGGTGAATAATAGGATTTTATAGATCCAATGACTGAATTAACCAATTTCATAGTAATCTCATCATTAAATTTTACAGTTTCCACAAAGAGAACCTTATCTTGATATTCAAGTTGTTTTGCTGCTGAGACAATTTTCTTTTTGAGTTCAAATCGATATTGGTGTCTAATAACTCTTAATAGTTTCTGGCACTTGTCTGTTGGCAACATTGGTACATACAACAGGGAAATTGTTTTCCTTTTAAAACGGCTCGGATCTTGATCAGCCATATTTTCCAATACACTAGTCCATAATAGTGTTCCTCGTTGAGTTATTAATTCCCAAAATGATGAACAAGACATTCCTAAATTCATCATGGAAGGAATTGAATTCGAAACCATCATGAGTATTTCAAAAATAATTTCATCAGGTAGATTGATAATGAATCGAGTCATTTTTTTTTAAATAGTGAAATATTAATTAATTATTTCATAATATTTAAAATTAATCCTCCTTAAATAAGGTACTATGACTATGCTAATATTAATATTAATTATTAAAGAATGAATTTAATTTGAAATTAAATTTCAAAAATTAAATTTATTCTTCTTCTGCAATAGATTCAATTTCTTGAATGGAATAAATCATTATTTCCTCAAGTGGTGTTGTCGAATCCTCTTCACCATTACTTCCTCCTCCAACAGGAACAAGTGAAATACTCTTTATCGTTTTCATATTTTTACAAATTCTTCCAATTGGTAAATATTTTCCATCATTCCAAGGTGAAGGAGACAATGTCACGTAAAATTGTGAATTCTCACAAAGTCCAATAATTCCAGCTCCTGTATGTTTCAATTTACTTGTAGGAATTTCCTGTAAATATCCATTCCATTCCTTTCCTCCTCTTCCTGTATTTGTTGGATCTCCACCAATAAAAACATGGTTAGGTTGTATGGTATGAATCAATGTATCATTGTAGTATCCACTTAAAGCAAGATCGGAAAAGTATTTACAACCCATAGGAACATGGTGTGTATAGAGTTCGACATCAAAGCTTCCCAAAGATGTTGAAAATCTCAGATATCGTACCATGACATTTAAATCGAGAGCATCTTTTAATTCACTCATATTTTACTATTATGTTGATGATAATTTTGATATCGGAAGGTTCTCCTTCAACTTGTTTTTTTAAATTTTTAAAAATTATTTGTTTGAATTTTTTAAATACTTATTTTTGTGATGATCAAATGCTGTATTGTCATCTATTTACAATTCAATAATTTTCTCACTTTTAAGCATTAAGAATTTCATAAATTAACAATCAATACATATATACTTCAAATTGAAAATACTCTTTCAAAAAGCTTTATTTAAAATGATTAACATTCAATCATTATCATTTAGAGCTTCTTAGTGAATGGAGCATTGAGTCTGGCAACTTGATTCAACAAGGCTTCTGGAGCAGCAGCATTTCTCTTGTTATCTTGAACATTCAAACAAGCAGTTGGCAATTGGAAAACAGCTGGTGATTCAATGGTGTTCTTTACGTCCAACCACTCTTCGAAAATATGATTATTCAAATGACCACCCTTGGACAAGATGTTAATTGGAATGTAGGAATCAGCAGCCAAGATCAAACGAGAAGTCCAACCAAAGACCTTTTCTTCCCAGACATCAGCCTTCAAGGAACCACCAATAGTGATTTGATCAACCTTGGTAGCATTGTTAGCCAAACAGAAGGCTGGCAATTTACCTTCGAGTGGGTGAGAAGTACAAGTGTTGGCAGTTTGATCATAAATGTACATCTTGGCAATGTTGTGCTTCAAAAAGATGGAAACGTGCTTATCATTAGGATCCAATTCGTGAATATCAATTCTTTGTTGTTGGGAATATTCATCAAAGTAGACCTTGTGGAAGTCGTCGTAACGCTGTTTTTTGTTGTGATAGATGAATTATTTAGATTATTATTCAAATGTGATTGATCGTATAGTTTAAAATTTGTTGTTATATTGCAAATATTTCGAATATCATGGAATCGATATTGTAAAAATTATCATATTGTTAAAAAGCACAAGTGATTGTTGTATGAAAGAAAATCGCATTAGAAATTAGAATAAAAAATATTATTCGAAAGTACAAACACAAACCTTCTTTGGATCCATCAACAAGATGGAAGCAGTGAATTGATTGCTGAGACAGTGTTGAGCAGCACTGACGAAACAAACTGATGCAATGAGCAAAAGTGTGACACAGATAATTGACTTCATTTTTTTTAATGGTCAATTCAAGAGGCTGAGTATCAAAAGAAGGTGTGAAAAAATTCTGTTGCGCAAAGTGAAACATCGCTGCTGTGATAGTGAGTTTGACATTGCTTGAAGGTTAAAAAACAACTGACGGATGTTTTTACAATCCGAACTGTTTTATTGATTGGCTGATTGGAGAAGTGTAGGAGTAATCAAGGAACGATCAGTTTTCCATTGTGGGACCTTTGAGTTTGGTTTTAGAAAATTTATTGAGGTGTTTAAATGGTAGATAGTATTCTAGTAAATTAAATGTTAATTATTGGAGATAATATTATCTATTCAGGATCAATGGATCAGATTTGTTAATTTTTAATATTATTATTTATTATTTCTATTATTATTAAATATTATTTCTAGAAATTTGTTAAAATAGAATAAATTTATTATTGAGAGAAAACTTTAGATTGTAAAACGGTAAATTGTTGCTTGTCCAATTTGAATTGTTTTTTCATGATTGGTTCTTTGGAGGAGTAACCAATAACATTGAGACGATCTGAGGTGGCAAGATAATTGACATTATTCTTAATGTTGTTTACAATCTTACGTGCTTGGTCATCATTTTGAGCTAATTTGTACAAATCTCCAACAAGTCCTAACAATTGATTATTAAATGCTGATATAAATACAATAGAGTTGAGCAATTCTGCTGCGCACAATGCTTGCTTCCTCTTCGAGGAGAAATCTTCATCTTTACCTAGCGACATTATTTCCTCTACAGTCTTTCCAATTATAGTGTTACCAATAGCAATAATTTGTTGTTTGTAATCGTCATCTTCCATGAACAATTCATCATTACTGCTCACACCTGTGTAAGTGTATGGAAGGTTTTCTTGAGCTAAGGCACTTAATGTTGATAAGGTGTAGATGAAGAGACGAATCTTGGCATCTGATCCAACTCCCCAATCATATTCCTGAATCAAGTTCAATAAACCTCTCATAAGATAGAATGGACCTTGTTCAGGGTGACCTGGAACTGAAACAAAGCAACTGGAAATGAAACAAATCAATGAAACCAAATCTTCAGTATTATCTATAACTGTATTATCAGCGAGTGTTTCAATTCTTGGAATACTGTTAATTGTTTCAATGGCAAGCTTGAATAATGAATTTGCTTGAGGAAGTAAATTGTTCATGACTGCATATTGCCCACTCAAAACATAAAGTTTGGTTCTCTTGAAAAGATTAGAGAGGGAAGGAATTGTAATGTGACAGAAGGAAATACATGCCTTGACAAAGGAACTTGTCTTGGTAGAGTGTTGAGCCTTCACAAATTTGTAAGTTTTAGCAATCATATTCAATGTCTTGGTGATTAATGCTTCATTAATGCTATCAAACATTGAGAATGATTTTCTGCAATCAACGAAAAAGTTGAGTTGTTTTTCCAATGCCATACCAAAGTCAATGCCATTTACAAAGCCAACGAGAGCTTCACAAACTTCTTCCTTTTCAAAATCTTGTGAGAGTTCATTTACAGAGTTTTGGACAGTTTGTGCAAGATCGAACAAGGAGCTAATAACAACAGGATCAGCTGCTGTTGTGCTCTTTCTCTTTGCAAATGCCTTCAACATTCCCTTACTGACTTCAACTCTTCTAATATTCGAAAGCATGTCAAAAAGTGGCAAGAATTGTTGCAGATTGAATGCCTTGATAAAATCATCAGTATTTTCCAAAATTGTCAAGAGAATATTTTGAATGTCAGCTTCCACAATTTCAAATGTTGTCATACCACTATTCTTCAAGTGTTGAAGCAAGTCTCTGAGTAAAATACCAACTTCCTTGAGAGAAAATGATTTACAGACAAATTCAATAAAGACTTCAACAACTGATGTATAATCAACAATTTCCTTCATGGTTGTAACAAATTTCCAAATTTCGTTCAAGAGTTCCAATTTGTTCTTGTCATCTGGTGGACAAACGCAAAATTGTTCTCCCAAAGATTTGAAAAGAATATGTCTAGGGAGAGAATCGTCACAATTCTTAATTTCATAAATAAGAATGGAGGCAGCTTGAGCAACCAAGTGAGCTTCAAATGAATTGATGATACTGTTCAAGAAGATGGCACTTGATTTTCCTTCTTTTTGATATCTATCTAAAACTTTGTGGAAAAGTGGTTCTCCAGCATCCTTACCCAAAACTTCCAAAATCCAATCGAGAGCAGGAGCTAAAAGATCAAAGTATTGACCCTTATTGATACCAACCTTGTTGAGGAATTTGGTAAAGTGCTCTTCTTCCATTTGTTGTTGTGTATAGACAAAATCATCGAACAAGATCATTAAATATTCCTTTTCATCTGGAATCAATTCAAACCCTTTTCTTGCTAAATAGCAACGAGCATAGTTGGCAATAAGTGGATCACCAATACCTCTAATTTCCTTTGCAATTCTAACAAAATCTTTCTTGAGTCTGACATCTCCATCATAAATAAATCTATAACTAGACAAAATTGTCATTTCCAAATAAAGTCTACCTAAAAGTTCACGAATAGAAGCAACCTTATAATGCCAATTTCTACAAACTTCTTTAGCATCTTCAGTAACATCATGTAAGGAAAATTCCTTTGGTAATTTGGAAATAATTTTACCAGTGATAGGATCAGTACGGTTAGCCTTCTCCTTAATTCTGTTATAAACCAATTTTCCAAAAGTATCCAAAACTTCACTGACCAATACAAACATACTTGGGTAAAATTGAGGAACAGTGCTTTTTCCGAGAATTTTAGAACATTTAATGACAATCTTTAAAGATTTAACACGATCATTATGTATGTTCCAAGCATCTTTCAATTCATCGTTTAACTTTTCCAAATGGCGAAGATAATCCTTTTGAGCCATATATTGTGTATCTTGTTCTTTTTCTTCCTTATCCAATTCATCTAATCTCATCTTTAATCTGTCCTCGAGTTTAATAACTCTGCCTTCTTCTTCTTCCATAATATTCTAAATATTAATTAATTTAAATTTAAATATTTTGTGATGACTACATACCGATATGATCGGAATGTTTTTATCTGTTGTGTACTTCTTTAAGTACTTTTGTCTCTTGAAGGCCCAGTTTAAATATCCAACTTTTTGTCTGGAACCAATTTGTCTATTGAGTTGTCCTGAGATGATGAGGGAAGGTTGGTTATCATTATTATTAGCTGTTGACAGAGGATCAAGGAATTGACTGGCACCACCACTCAAAGGATCTACGGAGAGAGGATTTTCTGATACAACAACAACCTTTGTGGCATTGACGGTCTTCTTCTTTGAGAGTGGATGATCAGCTGATTGAGCAGATCCCAACTTGATCAATCCATTCGAGTAGAGAGTATCAATATCGGTATTCTCTGCTTTATAATTACGAAGTTTTGGTTTCCTATATCCAAATAAATATGTTATTATTAGTATCATCATTATTGTTGTTGTTAACATGATGATATGTTCAAATCGGAGAGTAAAATAAATAAATTTAATGAAAAAATCTTTTATCAGATAACCTACCACTCGAATTCAGGCATTTTTTCGGAGCTGTGATAATATGAATATCTTCCTCGATGTATGTTCATTATTACAAGATTGATACTTAAGCAACCATTGTATAAGATAATGATGATAACAATCCATGTAAAGATAATTAAGAAATCATCTATTATTCGCTGCTCTTTACAACCATTTGTCAGGGTTGGTAAAGAATTTTATTTTTCCAAATCTAAGGGTGCCAAAAATATTTAAGGTGTTTCGTGGGGTTGTAATTGCAAACCAGAGCGCACTCTTTTGAATGATAGCATTCCAAATAAAAAACTGTAGTAGAGGAACCCTCGAAAGCAAAGACGTTCGAACGTATCATTCATGATGAGGAAGAACAATTTGTGTATAGGAAATAGAAAATTGGTTGCTGGTTATATAATTTTGTTAGTCAGCTTGATAGTCATAGCGGTTATTGTGAGCTCCAAATCAAATTGGAACATCTCGAAAGCAGCACATGAACAGTGTACTGTTGTTGGCAGTGGTGATGGAGAGGAGAACAGTTATGAATTAACAATAGAGGCTTACAATTCTTATTTTGATGAAGAGAATAATGTCCTATTCTTTGTTGAGAATAATACAATAAGGAAAGTGGAGTTAACGAATGGAATGATCAGCACATTAATGGTATGTAATAGCAAATATTTGCTGTCCTTATTTATTATTCAAAGGTGGGTAAGGGAGATGATGCTAATTGCCCAAACAACCTTGAAGCAGTTGGGAACATTAGAGAATTGAACATGTGGAAAGGAAATTTAATATGGATAGAATCTGGTAACAATATTAAAGTGCTGGACATGACAACAAGAAATATTTCTAATATTGTGAGAATGGACTTGAATATGAATCATATTTCATCAATTACTGTTGATTCAAAGACAAATGATATTTACATGGCTGATCGAGGTAAGTTATTGCTTGAAATCTTATCGACCTCTTTGATTATAAAAAAGATAATAATATTATTAAGAAAGTGGAAGCAGAGACTGGTGGCTCAAGTATCTTCTATTCTTGGACTGAGAGAGCTGATGACATGAAAATGAAATTTTGCTCTGGAAACCTGTACCTCTTGGCAAAGACAGCAAGAATGGAGGCGAGTTGGGTATTGACAGCAATTAATAAGGAAGGTGGAAGGAGTACTGTTTATGAAATTGGAAATTCGGTGTCTTCCATGCAATGTTCCCGGAACAACTTGTTCATTACCACCCTTGACAATCAAGTGAAGAAACTTGACTTGAATAATGAAGAGATTCAACTTAAGAAGGAGCTTAATTGGGTTTCATCAAATAAGAGATTGAAAGTTATCAAATCCAAAGACAAGATTTTCATACACTCTTTGAATTGGGAGACAATGGAAATATTATCTGAATCTCAAGGAAAAACAAACACTAGTATTGATACACCTACAACCATTGTAGTGATAGTTGTCACTACAGTTGGCTTTGGTCTTGTTGTGTCTGGGTGCTGTTACATTTTTATTATTGGTGCACTTGCTTATTATTATTTCAAAGTTCAGGCAGGGGAACCTAATTTGACATCTGTTCATTTCAGTCATGCAATTCAAAAACCAAAGAAAACTGTTGTTGCACCTTACTTTTAGATATAAGTTATAAATTTATTTAAACAAGTTCCAAACGTGCTTATTATTGATTTACAACAGGGGCAAAGTTCTTAGACAACGGAGAGGAGTCTTTCTTGTTTTTCTTTCTACGAGTCGTTCTCGAACGTACTGGAATTTCCAAAACTTGTTCTAGAGGTGAACATTTCACTATTGAAGGAGGTGTAGATGGAATCAATTTCTCACTTGAGGCAGGAGAAGAGAAGAGAGAAGGAGAGCTCTTATCAAGACTTCTTTTGTGTTGGAGTTTCTTGACTGGGGTGGCATATCTGAGCTTTTCATTTTTCTTTTCTGATGAAATAGCTGAAACAGATTCATAGAGAATTTTTGGAGTGCTGTTTTCCTTATTGGATTCTTGTTGTTTATCCTCTTCTTCTGTTGGTTCCACAACTTGAGCTTGTTCATTATCATCATCCTCTTCTTGGAAGAGGAGACAATCCTTCTCTATTTCTCCATTCATGATGAGTCCCCATGATTTATGAGCATTGAATCCACTCACATTTGAAACCATAACCCAAGTAATCTTATCACCCTTCTTTGCTTTCTTTGCATAATCACTGTTCTTTGTCTTGTTTTGTTCAATGAATTGACTGGAATTAATTTCAAATAAATTACACTTATTCTTGCATGTTTTCTTGAATGTTTTTCCTTGAATTGTAATGGATTTTTGAGAGGAATCATGGAGGGCGCCATGAATATCAACTAGAGTCTTCTTATCCAACTTGACAAAAGTACCACAAGTCAACTCTCCATCTTCATTCAAAACACTACATGTTTCTTCCACTGAATCGTCACAAATTAATCCCCATTTTGAACCAGTAACAATCCATGTGATCTTTTCACCATCGCGAGCTCTCTCTCCATATTTTGAGTTGGATTTTTCATTTTGTTCAATAAAACAAATGTTTTCCACATGAACAAATTTGCATTTGTTTGATGAGCGAAGGCGAATAGGATAGGATTGTGAATTGACAGTGATGGTGTCACCAACTTTCTTGGCGTGGAGTTGGGAGTGAATCTCGAGAGCGGATATCACTTGTGTCATTCTGCCTTTTTTTTGATTTAATTGCTATTTGATCACATTAAAATTTTAAATAACAATCAAAATTGTGTAACGGTAACTTTTAAAAAGAAGGTAAAACAAGGAAATTGTAATCCTTCAAATAATTCAATATTATAACATTAATAAATAAGTCCTAGGTTTATTTGGTTATATTTACAAGAGATTATTTCTTCGAGCTGCGAACTCTACTAGAGATTGCAGAGAATAAATAAGGTACGTCGTTAAGGTAAATGGCTCGCTGAATAATGTCAGAAAAGTCAATTCTCTGCGATGAAATTGGTTGAGCACATGTTACTGAAATTAAAGCAGGTTCTTTGTAATGTTTGTTGAATGAGAGGACTACATCCAGTTTGGTAACTTGATCTGCTGAAAGAGGTATCTTCAATTCAACTTCTACTACTTGTTTCGAATGGAATTCTCTACAGTCTATAATTTCAATATTGTTACACCATTTGAGGAATTTGAATTCATTCACAGCAGACAGGATGGTCAAGTTTTCAATTGGCTTTGGAGGTTGAACTGGAATAATTCTTTCTTCTTCGTCCTCGTCCTCTTCTTCTTCAATATCTTCTTCTGCTCCAACATCAGAGAATGAGAGACGTTTTCTGGTATCTCCCAGATATTCATCAAGTGTTTTTGGCTCTTTCCCAATTTCATCTTCTTCATCGACGACAGTCATACCTCCTTGATTGTCTTGACTATCAGCATCTTGAGAATGGTTATCTACTATTTGTTGTTCTTCAACTGCAGGTGTATTATCTGTCATAATATCAATTAGTGATGTGCTATCTTCTAAAAGGTCTGGATTCTCCAACTTTTCAAACATTTCCTCATATCTTTGTTTCAAACTCTTGAGATGAGCAAACTTTTCATGTAAAATCTTAGTCTTGGTTTCCAACTCTTCCGATAACATGTTGGTTTCCTTCTTCTTTTGCTTGTATTCCTTCTTTTCCTGTTGAATGTGGCTCTCATCAAAATTCATCGATCCCTTAAAACGATCCACCACATTTCCACTCTCATCCAAATGTTCTAATCTTTCCATGCTCATCTTTTTAGTACACAATTCTTGGTACAAAAACAAGAGCTTTTTGAGTTGGCTTTTCATCACGGAGCCTTCACTTTCTTCATCTTCCAATTTGTTTTGTGCCGTGTCGTGTAAGTGGAGGAAGGTTAACTTCTTGTTATTTTCAAAATCATTGCCAATAATTAATTCTGATGTCATTTCGGATTGGTCCATCATGCGACTATTATCACCAAGGAGTGATGATCCATGATGATCGGTTATTAAACTCAGACCACCAGTTAAGAGTGAGTCTCTCATTGGTGGAGGTGGTGAGAACATTATGCTTTCATTGTGAGGCATTTTTTTTATGTTGTTAATTTTTTAAACGTTCATTTTTGGCGCGAAAAAACAAATTGATAAAACAATCTCAACAGTGTATGAAATCTAAGAACATATTCAATATAAAGCCAGTTCCTATTAGAGGCATGAGGGAACCATTTGGTTAAATTGAGTAATTTTCAAAATGAAATACTTGTTCATTGTAATCTTTTCAACATAAAGAATTTCAACTTTAGAGCATATTCATAAAATACCGCCAAAAAAATGCCTCCAAAAACACCCACTTCCAGCAAACACAAGAAGGGTGCAAACTCCATCACACCATCACCAAAGACACCTTCGTCAAGTAAAAGCCAAAGTGGTGGAAGTGCAAGTAGCAAGAAATCTTCATCATCAACACCTGGTACAAGTAGTAGTCTGTCATCAAAAAAGAAATCAATTTCTCCTGGAGTTAAATCAGCTTCAATTCTTTCCTTCTTCCAGCCTTCGAAAGGTAATAATAATTCTTCTTCTGTGACTCCGAAGAAGAGAAGTATTTCGGAGGTAGATTCACAGGGAAATACTGCAGAGGATGCCCTGATTATTCTCGATGATGATGACAATCTTGTTGGTGAAATGGTCAACAGAACTCCTTCCTCTTCCGATGGTGGTAAATTATTCTCATCAGCAATTATTGATATTGATGGTGGAAAAGATCACGATTCACATGTTGTGACCATTCTTGATAATTCACCTCTTACAGATTTGGTCAAGCAGGATAGTCAGCAACGATTTGGTAACTTAGACTCACAGGGATTGAATGAAGAGGATTCATTTGATGGAGTGAGAAGCTATTACTTGTTTCACTTTTTGGAAATTTTGGATACTGTCATGAAGAGAGATGGCCATCTATTTATCGATGAAGAAAAGCAGTATATCAGTAATTTTAAAAATCTTTGTACAGCATCTCAACGATTGTATATTAGAATGTTTAATAGAAAACAGAAATATTTCACAAAAACCGAGTTGGATAAATATAAGAAAGAGTTGGAAAAAACCATAGATATTAATGAAGAGGATAGCGAGGAGAGAAAGAAAAATCAAGTGATATGTTGCAAGAGTGTGAAAGAGGCACTCTCACATCTTGGTAGTGTACAGCTGGTTGACAGCTTATCTATTGTGGATAGGGAACAATCATCAACTGAGTGGAATATTGACGATTTGAAAAGCTTGCTATCTGAATTTACAAACAAGCAATTGAAAGCAATTATAGACAAGAAGAATCTCAGTAATATTGTAAAAAAAGAAAAATCCAAAAAGACAACAGATTCTCCAAAACAAGACCTTATCAAAACAATAATTACCAAACCAGAGTCATTGAACTCTGTTGGAAGCGATGGGAAACAACAAAAGAAGCTTACCTTTCTCAAAAAGAAGGAGCCGACCGAATCAAAACCACTAGATGATAGTGCCAAAGATTCAGATCCAACAATAATGAGACCATCTGACATCCTGAAACTTATTGCAAAAGCATCAACTTCTAGCAAGGAAATTGAATCAATGTACTATAGATTAGGATCATATGGGAAAACTATTTTCAAACGTATTCATCACCTCTATTTTCTTTCACAATCAGCTGATAACGCAACCATTATGATTTTAGAACAAAAGAAGATTGCAATCTTCCCAAAATATGAAATTCAAGAACAAAAGAGCTTGTTCAGTTCTCGAGAGGATTTTATCAAATACGAAGAAGCATTTGATATCGCCAATACATGGATGGATTCGATTGACGTTCCTGATCCAACTCCTAACAAACAGAATGGCCAAGATGCACAAAACTCACAAGATGCACTTCTTTCAACCATAGAAATGAGATTGGATATGATTCAAAAGAGTAATGTAGATGGAATTGTTGAAAAATTCAATAATTTTGCAAAAGATATCGCATCAAGATTGGAGCAAGATACCTCAATTTTGAAGAAAATGTACGAGGAATCCAATTCAGATTTCACGATGGATTATTATTTATTAAGATTTAGATGTGGATACATTTATGGAAGACTCTTGTGGTTCTGTGTTAAGGTGTTAGAGAGAAATAAGAATTATGAATTGGCCATACAATATACCAAGCAAATAATAGAGTCACCATTCATGATAGGTAAAAGAGGAGAGTTCTATAATAGACTAGCACTCGATTATGAACATTTGAAAACTGAAGAGTCCTATAAGAATGCTCTTCAATCTTGTAAGGCTGGAATTTTCAATGAGACTGGTTCTGTATTTGCTAGGAGTATTAGTTTGCCGCCTAACAAGTTGTATGCTCTTGAAAAACGCTACTTTAGAATTTGTAAAAAGTTGGAAAAGATCAATTCGAAACTATATTCTTCCCTATCCAAAGAAAGCTCAGTAATTGATAAATTCATCTCCACCAATGTTAAACCACCCAAATTAGTATACATTCAAGGGAAAACAAAAAAGTTAGAAAATAGAAAATATAGAGAAAAGAAACACCACTTTATTTCACATAAGGACAACGAAACAATTGTGAGTGTGGAAGATTTTGCTATGGAACATTATGAAATGAAGAATTGTATGCAAGGAGCACACTCTGAAGGATCTTTGTGGGCCATGATGTTTATGCTAGTAATGTGGAATATTGTTTTTGACTCATCAATACCATATGTATTCCAGAACAAGTACCAATCGTGCCCTCTTGATTTCATGACTGATGCATTCTACATACGTAGGAGAGACAAGTTCAAGAAACGACTGGAAGAAATTGAAGAAAAAGGTGCTCAATATTTGAAAGAGCAAATCAAGACATGTTGGAATGAAAATTATGGCGTTAATGCTGTTTGTTGTAATTGGAGAGCCTTTACTGAACCAACAGAGGAAGATGGAGATGAGGAAATGACAATGGAAATCCAAGATGATGATGATTCGAGTAGCCAAACCGAAAATAAGGAAAATGAAAAATTGGAAGCTCTCCTAGCTATTGCCGAATGTTTTCCAATCAAGGTCACCACAACAATTCTCCAAACTCTAGCAGAAGACATTAAGGAAAATAGAAGTGGAATGCCTGATTTAATATTATGGAAAATTCAGCAAGATGGAAAACACGAACATCTCCTCAGTGAAATCAAAGGACCAGGAGACAAACTCAGTGAAAAACAAATTATTTGGATTGATCTACTCACGAAAGCTGGATGTTCCATCGAAGTATGCCATGTAAAAGTTAAAGAAGATAGCTCAACATCCTCCACTCCAGTAGAACAACAACCAAAAAAGAAACGAAAATGTTCCTCCGATTCACAAATTGAATTTCTCGATGATGATTTGTGGGCTAGTATTGAAGAACAATCTACTCAACAGGAAGAAGACAATACTGATGATGAAGACGAAGAGGTCTCTGAAAATGATGAAATCGATTTGTTAGAACCTTAGTTTACCAGTTTAGAACCCAAATAGAACACGTGTTTTTATTCTATTCTTATCTTTACTTTTTCCTTTTCACAAAACAAAAAATGCAACAACAATACAATGCTCCAGCCAGACCTTTCCGCTATGAGGAAAAAAGCGTTGAAGATGATTTTGAATTGGTGAACGTTGTGAGCAGGACAAATAGGAAGAGTTTACCTCCGTCGATGACGAGCAATGCCGGAGGTGGGCAATCAATTATTAATAATAATAATCAAACACAACAATATAGTGGGATATTATCAACAGCTACGAATCGATTATCGTTGAGTTTGATTTCTCCTGTGGTGATGGATGGAAATTCTGATCGGAAAGAGGAAGTTAATAATACTGTACCATCATCATTAAATAATAGACGAAGTGTTGAATTGGTGGTCGAGTACAATTTCAGACCAGACTTTGAGAAGGAATACATTAAACGAACTGAAGAATTGATGAAGAGAGAGGAAGAAGAGGAAAAAACTAGGAAGGCAAAGTTTATTGCCCTGTTGGAAGAATTAAATTCAACAAAAGGAAATAATGATTCATTGACTACAAGTAGCAGCAATAATAACACTAATAGTAAGATTAACAAGGAAGTTATTCCACAAAATAATTTCATGATCAATAATAATTAACACTACCAATCCACCACCAAGTCTTACACAATCAATTAATCAACTTGTAAATATTCCATTCTCTTCTTCTATTGAAAATGTAAATAATACTGGCAGAACAATATCTCCATATAATAATAATAGTAATACTAATAGTATTATCAATGGTATTAATACCAATGTATCACCAAACAATAATTACAATTCAACTAATAATTATAGACACTCTTCCTATGCGCCACCAGTGGCTGGGGTTGACTCCTATCAAGCACAACCAACTTACACAGCTATTCCAACAATGGATCCAAACCCATTACTTGGTTTCTCGACAGATGAAGAAGTAGAGTGCTACTATAATGTTTTGGAAGTTTACAAATATCCAGGATTTTCGAGTGAATTAGCAAGATTTGCAACAGAGGCATACAGAGGGGATCAATTGAAAGTATTTGACTTTTGTGACAAGTATAGACAATTATCAGAAATGCACTTTTCAGATAAGGATATTAAGGAAGTCCTATTATTAACAGATAGAAGTTTTGAACAATCATTAGACATGTTGGTAAATCAAAAATCTCAATTCCCTTCATCATCCTATCAATCACCACAAATGAATAAATACACAACCATGTAGATTTATTTCATGGACTCTAAAATTGCCTTTTGTAACTCGATATCATCCAAGTCTGTACCAATGGTACCAGCTAATTGTTTTTGCTTTTCAAGTTCTTGCTTTTTGTTTTTTAAAATCTCTGCTTCTTCCATCATACGTGAGAGCATTGATTGACCTGATTTAATAGCTGTAGCTCTTGTTGTAACAGTTGATTTTGGTCTTGGACAGCCAAACTCGCCAGAAATCATAAGATCCTCCCTTACTACATTGAATACAGATTGAAGTCTACTATCACACAATACTGTACATCCCATAACATCTTGTTTAACATTCTCATTAAAGAAGTCCTTGACTGGCTTTTCCAATAAATTAGAAAGTTTTTCAGTAGCATTTTCAAGCATTTCAATATTATCTTCAGTCACGTTTCTGGCACTTTGTCTAATCTTTTCATTAATCATCTCTTTACAACCTTCTAAAATCTTCTTATCTGCACAAGCAGTAGGGTCAAACATGTAGTATGAGAATACATAACAGAATTGAAGGCCCTTTCTACAATTGAAAAGTGTCAACATGGCTTGTTCAACCCATTGAACTTCAATCCAAGCAGAGTTTGGCCTCAATTCAAACATTTCAACCATCTTTTTCTTGATTACTTCTCTGGTCTTTTCTTCTCTAGTTCTTGAATCTTCGTGAGCTTTATATCTGTTATAGTAGTGCAAATATCTTTCCAAAGAGACTCTGGCATTTTCAGTATTCTTTTCTTCAAATCTTCCGCAAGAGTGTTGGTATGTTGTGTGATTGAAATCACATAAACAAACCCAACAAAAGTGGTGTTGACATTTATGACAATGCATATGGTTACAACCACCATTCTTTTCAATTGGAGTGTGACATTTTGGACAATCTTTTGTATTTACAGCCAACCAGTTAAATGTTTCACTATCATTTTGACATTTTACAGTCCAAGCAGTCATCATATTACAAGTAGCTGGTAAGTGTGGGAATTTCAAACAATTGAAACAGAATGAACATCCACATTTGCAATCAATTTCAAGTGGTGTAGTGTGAGGTACATTAACTCGGACACATCTTCCACAACAAGGTGCAGATGGACACCACTTAATACTAACATTGTCTTCAACATAGGATTCAATAAATTTAGCATCAAATTTCTTCTTATTTTGAGAACTAGCAAATTGACTAATAAGATCATCATCAACAATACAAGCACATCCAAGTTCAGGACAAAGAATTTGTAATTTTCCTTCCTTGATCTTACTTTCAATGTGTGCCTTCCAACAATTATTACAAAAAGCATGAGAACAAGCTGGTAATTTTGTACATTGATCAGCAGGTACATCATCATAACAGAGTGGACATTCAAATGTTTCACATCCCGATACTTTCAAACTGTCAGCATCACGAAGATCATTCTCACTCAAACCTGCTGCTTTCAAAAGACCTTCCTTTCCATTCTCGAAGAAAATATTTAAAACCTAATATTGATGATCAAATTGTAAATAATTATTATTATAATACTATGACTACTATTATTCCTAGATATTGTTAACTTACTCTTTCTGCCTTCCCTATTTAATTGTATTATTGATTAGTATTATTATAAGATTGATCATTTTGATGAATAATATCAAACTTGAAGAAACTTACAACCACACTTTCTCAACAAGACTTTTGCCGATGTATCAGTCACTCCAACAATCTCCACAATACGAGCAATTTCCTTCTCTTGTTCTTGAACAATTTCTTCCTGGGTGAGAATTACATATTCAACATCCTTTGCATCAAACTCTTGTCCATCGTAGGCTGTACCATCTTCATCATCGATCATGAAGGCATCATCTTCATCAAATCGATAGGATTGTCCAGTACCTTTTAATAACCGACAAACACAAACACATTAGCAAACAATTCTCCCACTTACCTGGCGTCATTTCAATTTCCTCATCATCAATGGCAAATTCCAAGTCTTCATCATCGTAATCGCTCATTTTTATTTGTGTTTGTTTGTTGGAACTTTTCAATGTTCTACTTTTAGCATGAAATGATGAAGTTTACAATAAAAGTGTTTGGTGAGGTTGCAATTTTAATGATGAACCGATTTGTTCATTTAGTGAGAATAATTGGTCGAGACACAGAGCAGCAGGCAGCAGCAGATTTAATATATTTACAAGATTTTTGTGTTAAATTCAAATCAAAGAATTGTTACATATGAAGGAATCGAATATTGAATTGGAAAATATCTAGTAGTGAGCATTTTCTTCATCGTCATCGTCTTCTGGTGGAATTTCTTTCAGTAATTTGATGCACATTTGAGCTGTTAATTTGGATTGACTGATATTGAGCATTTCAGTTAATAAATTGATGAGTTTCTTATTGTGATATACTCTTCCAATCTTATTTTTGATATATTCCTTCCAATATGATAATTCTTCTTCTGATAATTGTTGCTGTTGTTGCAAAGTTCTTACTAATTGATAGGTATAAGAGGCTTGAATTGAGTTCTTGTCAATATTTTGAGATTCCTCAGAGGACATATCAAGGGAGAGTGTCACTAATTGATAAATTGAAATGGCACAAGCATAAACATCCAAATATTGCCATCCAGCTAGTTCTTCATTTGTAGTTGAGGATTTGGAAATAATTTCCTTAATTTCATCGTTTTTAGTGAGCTGTTCTGGATTATCAACTTGCTTTTCATCGAGATCATCAGAAGAGTTATTGGAATTATAGGTCGTTTCTGATTTTGATTGCAACAAGTTGGCTCCACCAAGCATGGACAATTCTGACTTGTTGAAATAATTGTTCAGATATAAATTCATGGTATGAATGTGAATTCCAACATAACCCAAGGAAATATTCTCCAGAGTTTCATCCATAAAAATGTTATCTAAGGAAATTCCACCATACATCTTTATGTTGATTCAGTGTATTATGCCATCCAATTCGAATAAATATGGATAAAAAATTGGTTACATATTTTTCAATCATTCCAATACATACAGTTGTCTTTAAATTAGTATGAATATAATTAATAGCTTCCAATAATTGAGAAAAATAGCACAAAATTTGTTGAATTTTGAGGAATTTCTGCTTTTCCAATCTTGTCTTGAGTAAACGAAGCATACTTCCCTGAGTGTAGTAAGGAGTAACAATACAACAGGAATTCTTTGTAATGTATGTGTCTAGGATTGGAACTACATATTTATGAGAGTATGAATTGAATCTAGACATGAAATACATTAAGAATGATGATGGCTATTCGAAACAATCAGTCAATCAGAATAAACTACCAAATCACACTTACACTTTCTGAAGTTTTACAATCAATTTCAATAACTATTTCATCCATTAGCCATTCCTACATCATTAATTCCTAAAACTTACTCGTTTTATATTCTCCAGCTTTAAAATCTCTTGCTTGATAAACTAAAAAACCCACCAACAAATTTTCCATTCGATTAAAAATTCATATTAATACAAATTCCATCACATCATCCGAATCGACACAAATATTAAATTCCTCATCACTCGATTCTAAAAAACATACACTTTGCAAAATTTGGCCACAAATTCAAACTCGATCCTTTTTGTTCAACAATTTTCTGATAACGATCCCTTCGGAAGGAAGTTTCAAAAATTGGAATTGATTGTCCAATCAAATCATTTGATTCATTTAAAGATGAAGCTGATGAAGGATTTGAAGAAAATTCTTGGTCAAATTTCTCGGGATCCATTCGACCACTTTCGACGGCTCTCTTGGATAAATCAAAGGAAGAAACTTGAACCGATTGAAGGGAATAGTGGTGATGTTGGGTGAAGGCAGAAGGAGATGAAGTTTGTTGCATTTTTTTAATGTTGTTCCTTGATGTTTGAATGATGTTGTATTAATGCTATTATAATCTTTAATGTTTACAAAAATATTTAAAAATGTTTGGCGCCAAAACTCGTCGATTCCCAAAAAATATAGAAAAAAATAACAATAATTCTTCTGCATAGCTTCTCGAATCGGATCAATCAACATTTTCGGAAGAAATATTTAACAACAAGAATTAATTTAATTTAATATTGTAAAAAAGATGAGGACGTTTAAAAAGAAGAATCCAGTGCTTGTCAAAGTGGAGAGTTCACCCAACTCGAAAAAAGTCTCCCTCTTCAATGATATTAACAGTGATGATGAAAAGAAGAAGAAACGTACCAGAAGAAAGAGTGATGATGACATTTTCGGTGAGAATGTATTTGATGAAACTTTGAAGGAAAAGACAAAGAAACGTTCAAGCCTTGATTCATCATCACAATCAAAATTACCATCAACTCCAAAGAAGAGTCCGAAACCATCTTCATCAAAATCAACACCAAGCAAGAGTCCAAAAGTTGGCACACCAAAAACTCCAAAAACACCAAATTCAAAATCACCAGGAAAGAAATCATCATCTGCTGAGGATAACTTCTTCTCCGATGATCTTTTTGATGACGTTTTTGATTATTCTTCATCAGAAGATGAATATGGAGAAAAGGAAATTAGAGCACTCAAAAAACAAAAGAGAATGTCATCAACTTCAATTAAGGTTTCAGGAAAGGAGTTGGATAAGAAGGAGAGTATTTTAAACTATTTAGGTGGACTCAATTCTAGATCTTTGGATATTAAATGTTCAAGTGCTAGCTCACTTGCACAAATGTTTTCACAGGAAGGAAATGATTTGGGAATTTTCCTCAGAGCGTAAGTTTGATAAGAATTTGTTTCATTATTTATTCAATAATGTCCCTAGTCACTCCATGGTTAAGTCTATGGTTGAAACTCTATGCACAGTCATTGATTTTGAAAAGCAACAATTACTTTCATTGACAGCTGCTCAAATTATAGGGATTCTCCTTAAAGATCCTCTGAATGCTGAATATGCAACTGAAACCTCATTCGTCACACTCCATGAAATTATCAAACAGCACCATGTGTTAAAGTGGCAACAAACTTCAAACTTGGATTCCATCAAAAGAACCAAACGAACAAGAATGGCAGCTCTCAAAGCAGGCTCACCAAAGAAAGCTCAAAAAGAGCAAGAAAAGGTAGTAGATGAGGATGCCAACATTAAAACATTCGAGAAGACCACCATTTCCTTGGCTCTATCTGCCATGGTAAATATTGTAAATTACGAGCATTACAACTTTGAATTGAAGTATCACCAATCATCCAATAAGGAAGAATTTATAACCAAGAACAAACCAACCCTGTTATTTGTTAAATCGAATAGTATAGAAACAATAGAGCGATTAGTACCTTGCCTATTGGCAATATTAGAACAAGAACGAGATGATCTAATATCTGGTGATATGTGTAACTGTATTAAAATGCTGGAAAAGAATGGAATTGTGACAAAGTATGCCTCTTCAGACCCAAGTAAGAATGCTGAGGCTTGGAACTATTTCTTACCTGCTCTTATTAGATTATTGAATTGTCTGACACCAATCAGTAAGTGGATCTTGGAATATTATTTGTGGTTTACCATTTTCAAATAGACAAATCTTTATTGAGCGAGCTTAAAGATGGCCATCCAGTGTTGGATTGCACCCTCATCACTTTACGTTTTTTGACAAATATCAGCAATTGTAATAATGATATTTGCAACAAAATTGCCGAAGAAAATGGTATTTCTGGAGTGTGTTCTGTTTTAGCCTCAAGTTATACACAACATTTCGACATTCTCACAATGTCTTTGGCCTTACTTTCAAACATGACAGATAGTAGCTGGACTAATCGAGAGCTAATAAGAAATTTCAGTAAGTATTGAGAAAACGTTTTTCTTACCCTATTCCAAAAGAGTTTGAATTTAGAGGAAAGACTAAGAAATTATTACAATTTTTAATAGATTTATTCAAGGAATATTATGCCAAACAAGACTACAAAGATGAGGATGAAACAGTTAATGTAGCAGAGCAAGCAACAACTGATTCCCAAAGAAGTGACAATGCAGCTGCGGAGATTGTGGATTTAGTTTCGACTGAAAAGAAAGAAAATGAAAAGAAGGGTGATTTGAGAAGCAGTCTTAAACATACGGAAGATAATATCATCACTTCTTATTTGGCAATTCTTATTGGTTGTTTGTGCAAGGATCACGAAGCTAACAGGGAATCCATTAAGAAAGACCTTCCTGAAAACTCTTTCATTTCTCTAATTATTGCCCTAAAGGCCTTTGTGATCTACCAATCCAAAGCACAATTACTCACAAAAGAAACATACGACTCAATCACAACAATATTGAAGGACTTGGAAGAAAATCCATAATTTATAAATTTGTTGATGTAAATTTTAAGTTTATTTGTTGGAAGCACTTGTTGGAAACCACCTAGGAAATGACATAGGTGTTTATTTCACTCGTCACACGCTGTAATTCTCCAACAGAATGAATCTGGCTTCTGTGCAATTCAAACTTTCTAAATGTTTCACTTGCTTGGAAGGAAGTGAAAACTTTGGATTTTCTTGTCTCGATTCTCTAATTTGATAGATAATCATTTGGAAAAGTGCTGTTCTAATAGTTTCAGAAATGTTGGCCTTGAGTGAAGTCACCAACTGCTCTAAATCTGCTACTTTACCCAAACTTTCAATAACTTCTTGTCTAACTTCTGCATTTTCATCTTCTAACATATCTTTCAATACTCTAACTGCATTCTTATTGGCCTTATCTGAAATCAATCCCAAAGTATAAGCAACTGCTTTTCTAATGAAACTATCCTTATCAGCTGCCAAAGGTCCCAATTTGTTGATGGCATCTTTTTCTCCCTTCTTTAAGAGTCTTCCAATTGCCTTGATACAAGTTGGTTTGAATGTATGTGAAAATTTTTGAGGACACACTTCCAACAATTGGAGCATCTTGGTAACTAGTCTTTCATTATTCTCCTCCCTCAGACAAATATTTTCCAAGGCAGAGATGATTCTCGATTTGAGTTTCCACAATTCCTTCTCTTGCATGTGGGCATCCTTTTCCATTTCCAAATATTTGGTCATCATCTCAATAAGGAAGGTATCGTTGCGTGGAGCAACATTACCCATGGCTGTGAAAATCTCTCCAAGTAAGTAAGCATTCGAACTGTTTGATTCTAACAATTCTAAAAGTACATTAATGGCCTGAGAATTGGCTGTATTGGCAAATACAACACCCAAAAGGAAAATAACTGTTGTGATTTCCATAGATTTGTCTTCAGTCATGATATTCTTGAGAAGGTCGTTTTTGATCTTGTCAAAAATAAAGGTTAGCAATTCTTCATCATTATGGTCAACCATAGCTGAGAATGTAGATACAGTTGTCTTTCTTATTTGAGAATCTCCAGTAATTGCCAAAGTGAACATGGTGTCATAGAGCTCATAAACAAGTTTCTTAAAATTACTATCCTTATTCAATTGTTCAGTCAATCCTTTCACATATAAGCTCATATCTTTGGTATCTCTTTTGGAGTATTCTCTGCCCAACAATAGTGCTTGAATGAGTTCCATAATCTTTTGATTCAAATCATTGAAACTAAATTCGTATTCTTCGTATTCCTCACGTAGAGACTTATCTGGTCTGTATGCAATGTGATCCTTGAGGAGTTTGATTGCAATGGACAAGTTGGTTGTTTCTCTCGCTTCACAAACCATCTTGAGAGCATCTACAACAAAGGTTAGTGTATCGGATGACTTTTCCTTTGAAAGAATTTGAACGAGTAACTTGATTGTTTGCTTATCACCTGGAGCTGAGATCTTTCCTAGGGCAGTAATCAATCCGTGTCGAATGAGCTTGTTCTGGGCTTGTTTAATGTTGGATCTGATTTGTGAGAGGACAATTTCATCTGCCCTGACACAAATATTTGTCAAGCTCTCAATCATCTTGTCCATATATCGACCTTCCTTGATTGTCTCTGAGAGTAAAATCTCCATAAACTTGTTAATAAACTTGGAGTCTCCCCTCTTAGCCAAGACTGAAATGGCATAACATGCTCTGACTTGTACTTCAATTGGTGGCTTGGTCATGAGAGTCCACAACTTTTTAGTAATTCTCGTATCTTCCTTCTCAGCAATTGCTAAGAGTGCAATGACTGATTGCTCTCCAATCTTCCACTGTTTGTCAGCAAGTGATTCAATCAATCGTTTGGTAGTTCTATATCTGAATTCCTTATCGTCTTTCAATTGTTGGAAGATATCTAGCAAGCTGTGGGTGGCTGATTTGGTCTTATCCTTATTCTTGGTCACAACTTTCAACAAGTATGCAATAACATTGGTCAAGTCACTCTCATAGAGAGCAACTCTCTTGGTTGTCATTTCTCTCAAAACTGAAGAGTCGTGAATCAAACCCTCCAAAATCATATTCTTCAACTTCTTTTGTGTTGTAATATTCTTTTCAATTTCACTGTATTGATCCCTCTCATCACTTGGTCTTTCAGTTCTAATCATTTGGAGAAGTAAATTATCAATGGCAGAACTCTTTTTAAAGTTTTCAGACAAGTAATTGATAAATTCATTGAAATCATCTCTAGACATTGATCCAGCACAGATTAAGAAAGTTTCTCTGAACCATGGATCAATAATTAATTTCTTAGTTTCTGAGGAAAATACGATTGGAAGATTTTCCTTCTTTCTCGAGAAGAAATTCAAACGACCCTTCTTTTGTTCTCTAATTCTTGAAACTCTCCTAGCATCACTCCACACTTTGGCAACGAAATATTCCTGGAATGACAAGTGGGCAAATGAATAATTGTTACCCAATCGAATAATGAGCGGGAAATGTCCATCATCGATATCTTGATGGAAAGTCTTCCAAGTTTCGTATACATTTCTACTTGGTTCACTGGAACTTGATGAAAAGTTTGTACCAGATTCGTTAGCTGTAAGATTGTTTGCATTGGTAATTGACTGAGAGGAGAGTGGTGGTTGACTTCCATTTGTTACACTATTGTTGGCTGAGGCCTCCAAGTCTACGATGGTAGTAATTTCCTGGAGGTGCTTTTCAATATAGGCACTCGTAAAGTAACGTTTAGTATTGTCGTGTAAAATACTTGCAACAGCATAGAGCATTTCGAATAAATCTCTTCTCTCTTGTTTGGTAGTATGTGGTCTGACCTTATCGATATAGACTGAAATCATTGTTTCACAAGCATGGTCATACAGAACTGATCTAATATCTGGTAATTCCTTATTTTGCTTGTATTCTTGAATCATTAAACTCAAAAGTAGTGGAATCTTTGCTAATTCCTTATACTTTTGGAGGGATTGGAAGAATTTTGGATCTTTGAGACCTCTACTCAAGGCAACTTGCTTTTGAATTTGATAAGTGAGTGGTTTGATTCTTGCAATCTTGAAACTATCAAAAACATTCTTGGCCTCTTCCTGTTCGAAACCACTGACTCTACTGGTGGTGAGAATGCCTCCCAACTCTCTGAAATTGAGCTTGCAAATTTGCTTTTCCAATTTGGCTCTATTCTCTCCACCCTCATCAAGGCCATCCAATAATAAGAGTAATCGTCCACATTGCCAAACATTTAAGAGGAACTTTTCCACATCTGCAGAATATTTGAGACCCTTGTTGAAGGTGTCAGCCGATGCTCTGATACACTTGAGTTTGAATGGGATATTGTCGTGCTCTTCTACTGGAATATTTGCTACTGGAACCATGAGTGGAACCAAATCGAATGAATTTGTATCACCAGCCCTCTTGTAAGCAGATTGAGCTGCCTTGTAGCACAATCGTTTCATCATACAAGTCTTACCACAAGCAGCAGAACCCAAAATGAGATATTTGAGAGGTCTATCACTGGTACTCGAGAGGAAATCAACTGCATCTTCATAGTATTGACTCGATCCTCGTTCGACTTTGGTTTTCTTTTCATCGTCTTCTTCAATTTCTTGTTCGGTTTTCAAAAGATCATTCCATTCATTGGTTTCAACCAATTCCAGAGGAGCCAAATGTTGATCAATCTGGAGAGGTTCCTGAGATATTGGATCAATGAATACCTTATCACAAGTCAGAATAGTTTCCAAATATTTGGATTGCGCCCTCATGAAAGTTTCAGTATCCATTGTTACATCTTCAATATCAACCTCCTTGTCGTCAGTTATCTCGTAAGCAGCAAGATTTATCACATATTCAGGATTGAACGGGAAACCAGCTTGCTTTGTCAATTCATTCAAATCTTCTATTGATACAGTGTCGAAATACTTGTTACATACGCCAGTCTTTAGGCCTCTCATGAAATCAGTCATTGAAATTCCTGTATAACTAATATTAATCCCAGGAGACTCAGTTGTAATTTCATTATTTTCATTCTTCTTTTCTTCGATTTTCAATTGTTGAATCAGATTAATGTAGGCCTCTCTGAAATCCATCCAATTGACTCTTCTCTCCCAAGAATGTTGCTTCCAAAATTCTCGTGCCTTATCATTGATAATCTTTTCCAATGGAAGACTTCCATCAGAGGATGAAGAGGAGGACAATTCATCATCCATCGTTATAGAAACATCCAACATTCCATTCTGATCATTTAAATTTTGTGATGAAGGTGGTGGTGTGAATTTAACCTTCTTTAACAGAGAAACAGTTCCTCCACTCTTCTCAAACTCTTCCAAAAATTGTGAAATCTCTGCAGCTGTTGGACGATCGGTTGGATCCAATAACAGACAGGCATAGACAATCTCCTCAACCACCTTAGGAGCCTTATACTTTTTGCATAATTTACATACAAACTCTGAATCCTTCTTAATTTCATGTCTCAGATCTGGAACTTTGGTTTCATCCAGAAATGCAAACATTCTTAAAATACAAACACCAAATGACCAAATATCAGTACCTGCATCATATTTCTTTGAACTGAACAATTCAGGTGACATGTATTGGATTGTTCCAACAAAACTTTGGGCCATATTATCTTTCATTTGTTTGGTGAATCCAAAATCACTCAATTTGAGTACCCAATCATTATATGCTTCTTTTTTACAATTTTCAATAATATTATCATTTTCTGATATAGAAGTACAACTTGTTGAATGTTGTTCCTTTGATGTGGAAACAGCTGTTGTTGTTGTTGTTGTTGATTCATTACTTGTCTCTGTGATGGATATATTTGTTGATGATACAGCTTTGAATAGTAAATTGGCAGGTTTTAACTATAGTTTCATATTATGTCATTATCATTTCGAAAAAGATGATCAACTATTTGAAATTAATGGACTAGACTTACATCTCTATGTACTATTTGTTGATTATGTATATATACTAAAACACTCGTCAATTGTTTTATAGTTGATATTATAAAAGAGAAGGGTAGATGCTTATCAGCTGCCAAATCCTCACTTCCACTATTCTTATGTTGTCCTTCCTTGAGATATTCTTGAATGATGGTTTCTAAACTTCCCTTATCACTATTTATATGAATGTTGTTATAGTAGTTGTTGTTATTGTTAGTATTATTAGTGTTATTAATTGATAATAATTGGATATTGGATGATGTGCAAATATGATGAAGAAAAATCACAGTTGTAGAATTGAAGAATTTGGTGATCATGTTAATGTTATTAGCATTATTATTGATTTGATCCATTAGAGATGCATTGTATCAATGTTGATGATGATGTTCAATATATTGATCAGAGTTTCATATGTATATAATCATCATAATCATCATAGTAAAGTAACAATTTCATATGAAGATAACATTGATGAATGGATATTGAAAAAACACATAATAATAATAGCAAATTTGAATATAATATTATTATTATTGAATATATAACAAATCAAATATATAAATTACTTACCAATATTCCATAACAAAGAAGAGTCTCAATTCAACACCTGCAAAAGCATCAATGGTTCTCTCCTCAAAATAATCAAAATACCTCACAATATTGTTGTGTTCATGAAACTTCCGAACCAAATCGACTTCCTTTTTAATCTTTTCAAAATTTTCTTCCTCAAAGAGAGTAATCATCTTGATGGCGAATAGTTTGTTGGTGGATTTTTCCTCGACTGGAGTTGTGATCACGATGATGATGATGATAATTATTGTTATTATTGTTATTATTATTGAAAATGATGATGATGAAATAATATGTTTCCTAATGTCAATATATATTTCGAATAGGTATACGAACCTAAATAAACTAATCCTTCTGCTCCACTACCAAGTTTCATCTTGGGATTATACTTTTGGGTTAACATTTTATAATTTTCTATTGATTGATTATTCAATTCTCATCAAAACTTTAAGAGATAATATTTCGTCCTTTTTTTGTATTTTTGACAGGCAAGAAGGTGAACTAGAACGTTGACAAGTAAAACCTACCCCATAAAATAATTATTACCCAAAATCCTTTAAAATCTTCCACTATCGTCGATACTCTTAGTCCAATAACTACGATATACGAAACCAATCGAAAGTAAAAGAGGATCAGAGAGAGCAACCAATTGACACTGTTTTTTAACTTGTTAAAACTCTCTAGTGTGCGTCTTTACAACAAGTTATTTGTCTGCCCTTTCTTCAAATCATCCATGAACCAACTGTACTTACGGCACAACCTCCAAAAAAACATTCCTCTCTTCTTTTACAGAAAATTCAGTTAAAAATGAGTAATGCCTTTTAAATGGAAAATTCACAGAGGGGAAAGAGAGTGCCAAATTGATGAATATCGTTAAATTGGGCGGAAATAACTTGTGAAAAAATTGTAGAGTGATAACATTTGACTGTATTGATTTCGAAATATTTGTTATTGAGATGGGTTTTGTATTACATATTATTTGTGAGAGGTATTACCAATAACACTATTTGATTGTCAAGTGAAAGAATTAATTCAGTTGACTGGTAGATTTTAGTTGTTTGCCCGCCAAAATTAAATGGCGCCAAAATTTAAAAAAATTGATCGTTAGTTGGTGTTAAACAATCCACAAACAAATTCAAAAAAAATGGAAGACAAGCCAATCCCTACAACATCAAACAATAATCAAGCCACCGATGATAATGGCGAAAATGTAGATGTATTGGACTCGAATGCTCTCTTCCAAAAAATGTTAGAGCAAGCCTTACAACAAGAAGGATCCACAGGAGGAATTTCCCAAACCACAAGAACCAATCGACCTCCACCACAACGTAAACACAAGGCTCGTCCATTCAAACGAAGCACTACTGCAGCAACAACATCATCATCATCATCAAATACAGAGGAGGAATCATCACAAACAACAATAACTTCAACACCATCTAAAACAACAACAGAAGCAACAATAGCAGAGGAAGAATCTGCTGTTGATGCCGATACTATTACCGAGTCAACAACAACAATAACAACATCACCACCAAAAACAACTAGTCGTCCTCCTCTTAAAAAGCCAGCCCTCTCAAGACCAAATCCTTCACAGAAGAGAAAATCAGATGGTGCTTCTTCTGCTGCACCTGCAAAAAAGAAAGCTGCTGGTGGGAAGGAACTTTCCAAACCTATTGATAACAGTATTAGAAATACAGTGTCCCTTGAGGAGGCTCAAAGTAGAATTGCAGAAATTATTGATGCATCCATTGTTGAGGCATTATCTTCTTCTAAATTGAAGGAACGTATGGAAGCAATTGAATCTCTCTCTAAATCCCTAACAGAAATGGATAAGGATGTTATGGCTAGTAATGCTGATGTTATTGTCGTAACTCTTAACTCAAAGCCTGGCTGGAAGGAATCAAATGTTCAAAATTTGTCAAAAGTTATTGAAATGGTAATGTTAATTGTGGACAGTTGCTCAACTCTTTCAACTGGGCCTGCTGTAACAGTTATTGAAGGACTTGTTGAAAAGATTGCTACTGCCAAATTGAAAGATCCTTGCACTCAATGTCTTTCCAAGCTTGCTGAAATGTACTCTCCTCAATTCGTCTTTAATCAACTCTACCCAATTATTAAGGATCACAAGAATCCAAAGATTGCTGGTGAAACTCTTGGATGGATGGCTGCTACAATCGAACACTTTGCCATGCAAACTATTGATGTCAAGTCAATTATTGATTTTTCAAAGGTTTGTTTGGGTAATGCTAAGCCTCCTGTCAAGACTGGCGCTACAGAAATTCTCTGTTCCATGAAAAAGTTTATGGGAGATGGACTTTTGAATTATTTGAATGATGTCAAGCCTGCATTGTTGGATTCCATCAAGAAGGAATTCCAAAAATTCACAGATGCTCCACCTACACAAACCAAGTTTGTCAGAGGTATGAATGTTAGTACAAGTAGTAAGTCTGGTGAACCAGGTAGTGCTCCATCTTTTGATGATTTACTGCCAAGAACTGATATCTCTGGCAAGATTACATCAAAGATTCTTGGAGAATTGGAGGACAAAGCTTGGAAGACTAGATTGGAAGCTTTGGAAGAAATCAAGAATATAATCACTGAAGCTAATAAGAGAATTACTCCAAATCTTAATAATCTCATTCAAGCTCTGAAGAAGAGAATGGAAGATGCTAATGTCAAGATTCTCAGTACAACAATGGAACTTTATGTTTTCATTGGTGAAGCTGCTGGTAGTGGATTTGAAAAGTTCAGTCCAGTCATTTTACAAAATTTGGTGACCAAATTCACTCACAACAATAAGGTGATCAGAACTGCTACTTACCAAACTTTAGAAGGACTTGTTAAATCTCTCAATATGGATAACATTATCAAGTATATGGACAAGCCTTTGAACAATGAGAAGGGCCATCCTGAAGGAAGAAGAGATGCTCTCCAATTCATTGACACTTACATTTTGGAAGTCAAGAACAAATCTAGGGATACTCTCCAACACCTCGCCAAGCCTCTCATTAACTGCTTGCAAGACCCAAAGGCATGCACAAGAAAACTTGCTGAAACAGTTTTGGAAAAGGTTATCAGAACAACTGGTGCTGATTTTATCAAGAGTTTCTGTCAAGATCTCAACAATGCTTCCAAGAGTAGCATCATTGCTGTTATTTCCAAGTATGAAAACCAATATCAACCAACAGCAGCAGCCCAACAAACTGTCCAACAAGTTCAACCAGTCAAAGCTGAACAACCACCAACTAAGCCTGCCCAACAACCACAAACCCAACCAGCTGCTTCAACTTTGCAAAGATCCTCCTCTTCCCTCACTATTGGAGAAATGAAAAAGCAAAACCAATCTAAAACAGTTACACAACCTACTCCAGTCCAACCAGTCATTGAAGATGATAAGAGCTCAAGAAAAACTCTTGTTCAATCCTCCTTGTTCAAAATGGACTTCCCAAAACCAATCGAATGTCCAATGTCTCCTCCTTCTACTCCAGGAAAGAGAAGCATTTCAACAGTCAAGGATAGTGTCTTTACTACACCAAAGAAGCTCAAATTCTCAAAGCTTGCTACTGAAGAATTATTATTGTCACCAACCACCTTGTTAACTCCAAAGAAGATTAATATTGTTCCACAATCTAAGGATGTACAAATGTCTGTCGAACAAATCATTAGAGTTCTCACTAACACTAAAATCAGTAACTTTGAAAATGCTATGAATGCCATGAAGACTCTTGATAAGCATGTTGAATACCAAGATATGGGTATTTCCATGAATAGAGAACAATTGGTTTACTCCCTTTCCATCTTCTTTGAGGTTGCTTTTGACTCTGTCATTATTGGTCTCTCTGGTCCAAGAATTTGTAAGATTATGATCAATACCATGATGGGTTTGTTTGAATCTAGAAACTTTTCCTCATTGGTACAAAAGAAGACTCTCCTCAATCTTTTAGAAGTCTTACTCAGACTTTTACTCAATGACAAGTTACCAACTATTGAATATGGTGAAAAGATGGTTGCTGCTCTCAATACTCTCATTCTTCGTATTCTTGAAAATTGTTCCAGAACCACTGCTTACAGTTGCTTGATTACTTTATTGGAAAAGTCCTGCCTCGATCATGAAAAGGAACCAACCAGCTTTACCAAGGTACTTATCAAGTGTCTCTCCAAGCTCACTAAGACTTTGGAAAAGACAATTGGTATCATTGAAATTGGTTCAGTATTGTTGGATATTCAAAGCTTCCTCTCTAGCAATCCTCCAACATTCTTTGAAGGCAAGGATGATAGCCCTTTGAGAATGATCAAGACTATTATCCAAACTCTTGTCAAGCTGAAAGGAAACTCTTTGAGAACCTATCTCACAACACTCAATAAGGTTATGATTTCTCACATTGAACACGAGTTGAACGTCCTCTCTCTTTCTAGTTCTTCCACCAACACTAACACCTTTACATCCTCTGATAGCACCAACAGCTTGTTTGAATCAGAGAGTGATCAACTCAAGGAAATTTGTACATTAATTGGAAATAAGGAAACCACAAGATCTGGATTATATAAGCTTTACAAATTCCAAGTGCAACATCCTGAATTTAAAATCAACGAATTCCTTGGAACTACATCATTTGGTAAGATTTTCCAAGAGTACATTATTGGATCTGTTGCCAAGATTGCTGCTCATGAACAATCGAAGAAGGTCGCCCTCGAATCTACACAACAAACTCCAACCATTACAGTCAATCATTCAGTCAACCAAATGCCATTCAGTTCTCCTCCAGAGGAAGTTAGACCAGTTCTCAAGGAAATTCCAACAACAACCCCTGCCACTTCCAGCCTCTCCCAAAACATCTTATCTCGTTACAGCAGTGTAAATAGTGCCACCATTTCTCAATTTGATACCAAACCAAAATCAATTGAGGATTATAGAAAGATGAGAAGCTTGTCCAATATTAATGGTTCTACCTACTCGAGTGCTCTCTCCTCTACCAACAATATTGATAGTCTCAGAGAAAGATTTGCCAATATCAAGGCCAATAGTGCTACCAATAGATATAGTAGTTCCATCGACTTGGAATCTATCAAGCAAAAATATAGACAATTGGGTGATAAGGAAAATAGACCAAACTCAACCATTCAACAATAAATTTACAAATAATTGTATTAAAATAATGACATTGAAACTGATTTATTAAGAAAAAAGTGAGCTCACATTTTACAAACTATTCATCAAGTGCAATCTGCATTCTTTGAACTGGCCAACAAACTTTGGTTGTAAGTCATCATTAATTCAGTTCAAACGGCAGCAAAACCTAAGCCTCTGTAATCTGGATAATAAAAGACACAATGAAGTAATTGATCGGAAGTTAGATTTTATTCTTTAAAGAACAAACCCACAGAAGTGGCAACAACACAAAAGAGAACAAAAGCATAAGTCTTTTTCGTGGTAGACTCTAGATTCTTCTTATTCTCTTCGGGATTGTTACCCTTTGTATAGAGTCGTGAGAGTTTAGTATCTACAAGAGGTCCGAATAATGGTCGCATGATGAAGCTGTGTGTAGTGGTGATCAAGTTATCTATTTACAGGAGAATGTACAAAAACTATTTAACAATAAATAAGTTAATAAAAAAGGTTGTAGCGGGGTGAGCGTTGTGAATTTTTTTCTTATTCTTCTTTCAACGTTTTTGAAATAAGGAAAATTGAAAACAACATGCAACTGTTGTGATTCTCTTCTTGGAACACAACTTGGGTGATGGTTTTCAGTTTCAACCTCAAATTATCAGCAGTTGTAAGTTGAGCAAGGAAAAAATTGTTTGGTGGTTGGTAAAGATCAAAAGGGAGTTAAATATTCACAATAGTCAATTAATTGTTGCAAAGGATATATCTATATCAGTTCATTAGTGAGAGAGTACCAAAAGGAAGTTTTGGAATTGGTTTGACTGTAGGTGGAGCTTCTTTCTTTTCTGGTGTTTGGTTAGGAGTAGTGTTATTCATAATGTTAGTACGGTCGACATTTTCATTTTGGGTAGTGGAGCTGGTTGTTAATGAAGAAATAGTGTATGGGTTACTATTGTCAACTGATTTCATTGGAGAAGCATAAAAGTTTTGAGTTGTACTGGTTGAAGAACCAAAGGATTTTGTGTTTGATCCAGAGTTTACAACGGCAGAAAAATTGTTGGTTGTCAAGTGAGCTGTCAACCCCTTCTTGGCCTTGGTCTTTGGAGAAGCAAAACCTTGTTTATGAACTTTTGGTGATTGAGCAACCAAAGATCTCATTGAATTGATTGAAGGAAGTGGTGGGAGTGGTTGTATAATATGAGTTGGTGGGGAGATATTATCAATTGATGTTTGTTGTTTGGAATATGGATACATTGAGGTAGGTGGTAGTTTGATTTGTGGTACAACACTGTTTGGTTGACTAGAGCCTAGGTGGTGGGTAGAACGAGATAATGCAACATTAGTTGTTACAGGTGATGGTACATGAGTAATAGTTGTAATTGGTGGATGACAAGTCTTTTGAACTGCTAATGATGATGACGATGATGGAGGAGACAATGGTTTGCTGTTTGGTAATTGCCTAGTTTCAGATGATACGTTACAGATAGACATTCTCTCCACCTTGTTGTTACTAGTCATCAAATTGATTGGTAGTTCCTTAGAATCGGAAGATTTTGAATGATTGGATCCGTTACTGATAACATCATCACAACAATCAGTTGCCTTGTGTTTTGTTGCATAGGGAGTCGGATTGAACAATTGATAAGGTTGAAATGCAAAGGATCCCAATCTATGTGATGCTGTTGCTGGTTTACTATTTGGTCTTTGAGAAGATTGGTTGATTGCGACTCTATCCATTGATAAAGTAGTTCCAACGGCAGATTCTTCTCTATTTTGACACACTAGCTGTTTTGGCATTTGTTTTTTGATTTTTGCAACGGTTTTTCTAAATTGCCCAAGGTGTTTGTTGTGATGAGAGGTCCGGGTTCAATGCTATGGTTGGTACTCTCGTTCTGATGATGATTATTAATGGGGAAGTATTATTAGAAAAAGTGGCGGTAACTGTGGTTACTTATTTTGTAGAGTGGATGGCGATCTGGAGAATGCACTTGATGTTGATGATAATATCAGTTAGTTTCTTGGTTCTTTGTTGTGTTTTACTGATAATCGACTGATTCTCTTGTTGTTTTTTACTACTATTTGTTAAATATTACAACACAACTACTATTAATAATATCTAATTTTCCACTTCTAGTTGTATGGGTGATGATTTTTTTAACAAGTCTATTTGTGTTCTTGGTGGAGAAATTGATCAACAATTCACAGATCAATCAATGAGTTGGCTTTTTGTAAAAGAGATTGTTTAATTGGGAGAAGACAACCATAAACTATTATTAACACCATGAATATCGTTATTGCATGACAAGCTAAAGTGAGCACTTACTTATCTGGACTTGAACTTACAACAAAGGTTGATCAAATGAAAACTGTAAAGTGAAAGTGCCAATCTACAGTTTTTGAGCTTTGAAAAATGTCGTTGCGTTGCGTGATGGGTGTTGATTGTTTTTTTGATTGAATAGAATCCTTCACCGACAGCCCTATAAAAGATATTTTTGACTTGTTTATTTTCAATTTTTTACTAGATAATCAACTTTTCTTAATTGTAATGTGCATTGCAGATGAGTGAAATAAAGTCGGTTATGTTTAATAATATTGAGGAAATATTATTTAAATATTTGATGATAAACTGGTCTTTTCCAATGCTTCCAAATCCAATCCCTTCTCATTCATATAGTCCTGAATACTTTTCAAGAGAGGATCAATTGTATTATTCTGAATGGTCATGGCTTCCTTTTCCTTGAATTGAGTCCATTTACAATCACCATGCTCTGTCAATTTAATATTCAGCTTGGAACTGTCCTTGGCAAATGCAATATACATTTTTAGAGTTTTTCCAACTTGAATAGATTTTGATTTGGAAAAGTAAGCATACTTTTCTTCGAATAGAAAATCTGGATGAATCCCAATCAGATCCAATGGAATAGAAGTCTCTTCATTGAATTCTCTCTTTGCAGTTTCAATAAATGTTTCACCAGGTTCCATTCTTCCTTTTGGTAAATCAAGTCTACGACTATGTTTCATTAAAAGGAAATCATATTTAGAGGTCAATTTTCTAAAAAGCAAAATACCACATGATATTTCTTCATGTTCAACAATTCTTCCATATTGTTCGAGTTGTTCCTTTTCTGTGAGGAATACGTGGCGATTCTCTTTGGAATTTGTTTTTTTGATATTTGCATTGGTGTTGGAAGATGATCCCGAATTAGCTTTTTGTTGTGACATTTTTTAGTAATAATGGAATTGATTATTAATAACTTGATCAGCTTGATTTTGTGGTAAATTGCAATTCAAATCCAGATTTGAAGAATTATCATGAAACACGATATTTCTTTGTAAGGTTTTGTAAGCTTTGTTCTAATGAAATCAGAGTGACAGAACAATTGGGTGGTTATCTTGCTAGGCTTTAATTGAGTATCATCATTGATTGGATTGAAGCTTGTTATCCATTTTCCTCTTCCAGATTCAGTCCCTACTTTCAAAAATACCCGAATGATACGTACTGACATTGAGGTTATCATTTGTTTCAATTTGATGTTCATTTTCAATCAAACTCTATTAACTCTCAATCACAATGAACAACAATAACATATTTAAATAAAATATTTTTATTATTTTTAATAAATTTTTAATTACGTTTAAAAAATATGCGCAGCTTCAACTCACTCTCCAAGTTGTTGAGCAAATCTTCTTTGAACAAGATTTCTTCATCATCAACAACACGTTTTTATTCTTCAGAAAAGCCATCCGGCTTCGGAAGTTTAATTTCTGGTGTTCCAAAGGAACAAATGTCTAGAACTGTTAGAATTTATAAGCCAACTAAAGTTGTTACTCAACAAGGTATTTCTAATACTCTCAAGTGGAAATTGGAATGGAAGAAACAATCTGTTCACGGTGAATTCTGGCATGATCCTTTGATGGGTTGGAACGCTAGTAATGACCCATTGTTGACTACCTATGTCTTTTTCAATTCAAAGGAAGATGCCATCGATTATTGCAAGAGACATGGTTATATTTATGAAATTGAAGATCCAGAAGATTCAAAGAACCTTGAAGATTTGGGTGGAAAGAGTTATTCTGATAAATTCAAGTACAGAAAGGAAGAAGAAGAATGGTAAATAGAAAATGTACAACAATGATGGTTTTGGGCCACTTACACACATCAATTAAAAAAACAATTATATTAATTTAATAATAATATTATATTTATATTATTAGTATTACTATTTGGAATGAAATTTATTTACAATAACAACTTGGCATGATATTTATCATCATCATGAAAGACATCTTCATTACATCATCGATACAGTGGATTTGAAACCAAGCAAAACAGGTTAAAAAAATGAATTTTGCTTCCTTCCTCTCTCACATTGAGAGTACCATCGACAAGGCCCTCTCTACAGAAGGAGAGGAAAAGAAGGATGAGAAGAAGAGTAGTAAATCTTCAACCTCTGTTGCTAGCACACCATCGAAAAGTACATCGGAAAGCAAAATAAATTCTCCATCGATCATCAAAACTAGTAGCAGTAGTAATAATTTATCAACAACAGCAGCATCAACTTTGGCTGTAGATTCTAGTAAAGAGAAAACGCCATCAATTAAAGTGGTACTTTATGATGGAAGTAAAGAACAACCAATTGTTACAGAATTGAGGGAACAAATAGAGGCGTAGGTTTTTCAATCAGTTGTTGTTTACGTTTAATTTGATGAAATGCTAATGTCACAATAGACTTGAAAAAGCTACCAAACATCATTTGGAACAACAGGATGAACAAGCTAAAACAATTGAAGAGCATTTGAGCAAAATCAAACAATTGGAAAAGGAAAAATCTAAAGTTCAAACATTGCACGATGACTTGACTATGGAAACAAGGGAAAAGGCAAAACAATTTGATACATTGAAGGAGGAATTTAGTACAAGATTAGGAAAGGAGGAAAATAAAACAGCAGCACTCAGAAGAGATAAGGAACAATTAAAGAAGGAAGTGCAGGCAAAGGAAAAGACTATTAGTGAATTGAATGAACAACTAGCTAAGGAAACACAAGAAAAGGAATCTCTCAAACAATTGAAGGAAAAGTTTGAAGCTCAAATCAAGGAAATGGAACAAAAACGAGTTGAGGACAAACTTGAACAACAAAATACACAAATTGACTCTTACAAGAAACAAATTGAAACTTTGGAGGGTAATCTTACACAAGTTAAAAATGAAAATGAGCAAAACAAGACCACAATTGCATCATTGAGAAAGGAGTACAGTTTCGAATTGGAGGTCAAGATTAATGAGCTGAATAGAAAACATGAGGCGGAATTATTGGAACTCCAACAAACTATTGATCAACTCAGAGAGACAGTTTCCAATGCGAACTCCTCTGCAGACGAAAAGGTAGAAACTCTAAAGAAGGATGTTGAACTATGGATGAAGAAGCACAGAGACTTGGAGGATAAATCTCAAGAAATAATGTCTCTCATTCCTGATGCTACTAAACCATTATTGGAACAGATTCAATCTTTGGAACAATCGACAACGACAAAGGCCAATCTCTCATCAGAGAAGGAGAAAAAGTTCCAAACCAAGTTACAAATTGCAGAGAATAATCTCAAACTAACTGAGCAGGAGGTTACCAGATTGACAAAGCTTACAGAACGATTAAAACAAAATAATCAAGAGCTGGAAGGTGATATTCAACAAATGAAAGAAATTTTGAATACAGAAAGGCAAAAAACTGAGCAAGAACGATCCAAGAGAGTAGAAATTGAAACCTCTGTCTCTGCAATTAAAACATCACTCAAAAGATCACAAGAAGACAATCACTATTTGGAACAACAAATTAATGAACTCCATGAAACAATAAGGAAATTGAATGCTGAATTGGAAAAGAACTCCTCGAATAGTAATACCAACCATCACACTGTACCATATGAAACAACATCCTCTGAACATGCAGCTTCAAATCAATCCACCCCTCAAATGACATCAGACGAAACAGAACAAGCCACAGAAAATGAAACAGAGATGATAAATTTAACTAATAGCGAGCTTTTAGAAATTATAGAAAAGAAGAATAACAAGATCAAAACACTCTTTGTACAGATTAGAGATTTGGAAGAAATTAAGGAAGATTTATCTGAACGATTGGCCATGTACAAGCAAACCAATCAAACACTTGCCAATGAAATTAATGAAAAGGAACTCACTCTGAAACAATTTAATGATCTCAAGTTTAGATACGAGGCAGCTTTAGATTTAATTGGTGAAAAGGAAGAAGCGCTCCAAACCATTCAAGAAGAATTCAAATATGTCAAGGAAACTTTTAGGACTCAAATCTCATCTCTTTTGAAAGAAATTGAAACACTCAAAACATGAAAATAACATTTTCTTTTTCCAAATCTTCTTTCGTAATATTTCGTAATATTCTCAATATGAAATACATATTATCATATTCCAAAAAACTACTATTCAGAAAGAAGTTGAGCCGTAACGAAAATATAATTCTTCGTCTTGACCTCCTTAACTGTGTCCACATGAAGTCCAAACAATCGATCCATCCACAAGTAACGAATCAATCTTCCAACCCATCCAAAAAAGAAACTCCTCAAATACTCTGGACTATAATGTGTTCTATAGGTTTTCTTTCTCGAATCTCCACTCAACACAACAGTCTCTCCATCATTCAACCAAACCTCAGCCGTATATCCCTTCTTATAATTAAAATTACCAAAATCTGGATTGGCAATCATTCGACTCGGACGATATGTTGGTCGATCATACATTAATAAATCCTCATCAAATAATTTATCTTCATGATAGAGAGGTTCATTACCAATCATGTAATTATCATAATAGCCTCTCCTATTCGACATGGGATTATAGTAGGGATCGGAATTCATGTAGGGAGAATTATTTCTCATCATTGATGAGGAGGATGGAGATATCATATCATTGTACATGTAGGAGGGTTGTATTTGGCCACTTCCTGAACCTCCTCCCATCATGTAATTATTACGTTGTTGATTAAACATTTTTTTTTGTAATTTAATATTTAAATTTTATTAAATTGTGACAAAGTTAACTTAGATTTTTATTAGAAATTTAGTCAATAAGGAATAATGGAGCCAATATTTTGTTTTGAATCTTATTAAGGTGTTTTTTTGATAAATTCCATTGCAAATTAGTTTTGTAAGAATCTTCCTAGTCGACGTTTACTTTAAAGAGCAGCTCAATTCCCCACTGAAATTTCTCCACTTTCCTTTCCGTTTTTGCTCAAAAATTAATTTGTTCAATTATTCTCATTCAACTTTTTGAGCTTTTTAACATAAGAAAACCATCTTGCCAATTTTGACTTTTTTTGAGATTCATCGATAAAAAAACCATGAATCGGACTCATCAGAACAACCACACGTTTTTCCTACACTCCAAACTTTATGTTTCAACCACAGCACGTTCCTTAACATCATCACCTTTAGTACTCAACACTTTTTTCCATGAACAAAACAAGATAGAATAGTACTGTCCTTCGAGAATGCAGATCCGTTCGTTTGCCCAATAGATCCTTGGATCACTGTGAAATGTGACTTTTTTGTAAGGAGCCAAATTTTCACATAGACAGCAGATACGTAAAAAATCGAAAGTAAATTTTATTTGTTTGTTGTGGAATGTAATGTCATAATTTAAAACTAAACTAAACTATTTGGTAAGTATGGTGGGGAATCTATCACCTTAATGAATTTTGAGTTACTAAATAGTTTCGTTTCGTATTTAACCTATTAGTACAGTTTAGTATATTTGCTAGTTCACGACACTTTCTTATAAATCCAGTTTTTCATCGTGTCAGAATGTCATGGATAATTATAACAGTTCTCAACCAAAACAATGATTCCTATGGTTTCTTCCCACAAAACACATGAGAAAACCACAACTAAACTGATTGTAAATAATACACAAAAAATCAACCAAACAATAATCTATTCGAAACCTTCAGACATGCCATTGAACAAAGCTCCAACATCAAAAATTTCCAAGAGAAGAAAGATGCGAACTAACCACACTACATCCCTTCCAGAACTCAACACTCTTCTTTCCAATCTAACCATCACAACCTCCTCACTTATTCGAAACTCCACAAACGAAACTTCCCAACATGCATCACCAACACATGCCCCACATGTTCCTCATCACACCCTGAACCAATCAACCAGCCACTCCCTTCCACTCACTCAAACTTTATCCACTCTCTCCCAGACCTCACAACATGCAACACATCTCAAAAATTTTTGTTTCAGTAAAATTTCAGAATTCAAATCGAGCGGTGGAGCCACAACAGCAGGAGATGTCGAAATGTGCATGGAGGAGGTTACATTTGAGATGGTTCAGGAATTATATGAGAAAATGATGAGGGTTCAGGAAGAGTTGGCTGATGCATTGTTGGAGATTGAGGAAATGAGACGGGAAGAGATTAGGATAGAAATTGGAAGAATGGTTTCGAATGTGGTGGAGAATGGAAATTAAGTAGAGGATTGAAAGTTGTTTATTTCAATAATATATTTTATTGTAATAAAGTTTCGAATAGGATTGAAAAAATTCAAAAAAAAATGGCGATTAGTACAAAGAGGCGATTTGTGATGGCAATTTCTTCGGGGATATTATTTCTTGTGATATTAGAATTTCTTTTTGTGATGAGGCAAGATAAACAACATGTCTTTGAAGATATTCGAAAGGAATCGACACTTTCGTATTCTGTGCCATTTTCAAGACAAAGGCTATATAATTCGAATGAATATGGTGATTTTATGAAAATAGCACAAAAACAACAATTGGAATTTGTGAAATTAATTAGAAATGATGAAATTAGTGAATTACCGAATGTTGTGATTGTTTCACAATTAATTGTTGGACTTTCGGATAAAGATAATGTGTTTTTCCTTGATTTATTAACGAGCATACAGATGAATTTATTGAATCCATCAGTTTCGGAATATCATTTACTTCAAATTGACAATAGTTTAGATTCAGATATCATGTCATTATTATTTTCGAATAAGATTAAAATTCGCCACATTGGAAAAGAGATTAATAGATCAATATTCTTGAAATATTGCAATGAATATTTGAAGGATAGGACTGTTTTATATCTCAATCAACCTGATGTTTATTTTGATAACACTTTAATTCTTGCTTCGACTATTCAATATGGAGAATGTGTGAAAATTTATAAGAGATTGAGCATGGTGAAACCTTTCGATTGTGAGGTAAGTTTACTCTGTAGCTTTGTGAAATGTGGAAAGTAATTTATTTCTCTCATCTCAAATATATTAGAGAGGACAAGGATCAATAAGTGAGGGAATTATTTTCAAAACCAATTCACAGGAGCCATTCATGGTCAATGAAGGAGATCCAGATTGGACAAAACAATTAATTATTCCAATGACTGCCAAAATATTTAAAACTCATAATTGTAAATTGGCAGAGCAGATAAATGGTTGGTTTTTGAGTGATCCATCCCAATTGGTTTATTCAAATCTGCATATACCCAATAATCAGAAAGTATTAGTTACTAAAAGAGAAGGAGTAAAAAAGGAATGATATATTGAATAGTAGTATCATTCAAAGAAGAACTGACACGGTTCAATTTTGTTTAATTTCCTAATCATTATTTAAATTTTTATGGAGAGTACTTTACAGAGTTAGTACGAACAGTAATAGAGGAAAATTGATATTTTACAATTTCCATTTGATAAATTTCTAATAGAATATTGCATCAATTCCTCTTTTCACTGAATCATTGGCTACATTTGAGCAAAATTCCCATTCATTCCATCCTGCGGTTTTCTTTCTCAATTTTGAATACTTTAAGCATTCTTCATGTTTAAATCAACCTTGGAACCTGCCTTAAAGGATATAAATCTTTATGAATAACTTCCACTGATGAAAACCACTTTACAATCCTTTAGTGTTGTTTATTGATCTAGTTGTATGGTTTAACCAACTCACTGTACCACTTGGCAGAGTTCTTGACATATCTTGTAAGATTAGGACTATTATAGTCAACAAAGACAACACCAAAACGACAACTATAACCATTGGTCCATTCAAAGTTATCCATCATTGACCAAACAAAGTAGGCCTTAACATTAACACCATCTTGCATCACTGCATTGGATACCTCTGTGAGATAGTCATGTAAATAGTTAACTCTAAAAGTGTCGTTCAAAGCTTGACTAATTGGCATTGAGCTTTCACCTGGAGCATCAACACCATTCTCAGTCACATAAATCATTTGTGGATTATATCTCTTTTGAATCCAATTCAACATGGATCTGATTCCTGGTGGATAGACAAAGAGCCAATCAGATTCAGCTTTTGGACCAATAGGAACACCATTCTTGTAACTAGAGCCTTCGGTTCTTTGGTCATCATTGAAAGTTCTTTGATTAACTGGTGGTAATGGTGATTTTCTATTTCCAATATAATTACTAGTATAATGGTTAAGTCCAATAAAGTCAACTGAACCCTTCAATAATCTCTTTTCTTGCTCAGTGAAAAGTGGAAGTCTATTTCCTTCAACGAAATCCTTCATTACTTGAGGATAATCTCCAAAGAAAACTGGATCAGCAAACCAACCAAAACCAAATAAGAGAGCTCTTTCACAAGCTTCATAATCTTCCTTGGTATTTGTGAGAGGGTAGTAAAAATTGGAATTGAGGGTAATACCAATTCTACCTTGTTGGTCTTGTTGATACTTGTCACGATAGACCTTAACAGCATGAGCATGGGCCAATAGTTGAGAGTGAGCAGCCATATAAGGCATATTTGAGCTATTTCCAGCAGGACTTGATCCACAACCCAATCCTGGAGCCCAATCATTGCAACCATGTCCCAATACAGATGTAATGAATGGTTCATTGAAAGTAATCCAATCCTTAACACGATCTCCAAAATGAGCAAAACAAATATCAGAAAAATCTCTAAAAGCTTGAACAGTTTCCTTAGAATTTAACCAACCTCCATAAGTATCTTGTAAATATTGTGGTAAATCCCAGTGATACAATGTAACTGCAACATTAATTCCATTTCTAACAAGTTCATTAATTTCCATATTGTAATAATCAATACCTTTTTGATTAATACCATGTTTCAAAAGACCAGTTGGAAGAATACGAGGCCAACTAATTGACATTCTATAATTCTTAACTCCCAAACTCTTCATCAGGGCAATATCTTCCTTTACCTTATGATAGTGATCATCAGCAATGTCACCTGTTTGATTATTATAAATTTTACCAGGAATATGACTCCAAGTATCCCAAATACTCAATCCTCTTCCATCTTCCTTATATGCTCCTTCCTACATTCATTTCCAAATCATTAATCATTAATCAATAATCAATATTCAATATTCAATATTCAATCATAATAAAATTATTGTAACATTCCAATTAATTATATTATATTCAATAATAAATTTAATTTGATAATAATTTAATCAAACACATAACCATCATGATGATCATTATTATAACAAATTATTTTAACAACAATTTGTAAACATACAATTTGATAGGCAGCAGTAGCAGCACCAAATCTAAAATCCTTTGGGAACGGAATATTAGTATTAGCAAGACTAGCTGCGGAAATTAGGCTAGAGATGAGAGCGAGCAATAACAAGATGACCACAACTTGTCTCGTTAATAAAGTTTGTTGTTGGATCATTTTTTTGGATTTTGAAAAGAACTCCGAAAGGATTACAGTAAGTTTGAAATCACAACGAATAAGGAAATTGTGAATCATACTCCTTGAGAGGTCAATTAGGGTTTAAGTATTGTTTGGATTGAATTTAGAAGATTTTGAAATGCATTTTCTTGCATTTTCTTCATAATAGAAGAAAAATCTATGAATTGTCCTTTTATGGATATTTATTAAAAATTACAATGTTTTGACTTAGCTGTATCAAACTAACATTAATTGCATTGTAATGAATTCATATCGGTATAATTAAAGAGAGGGTTTTTAGGTATTATAAATGATTTTTTCAAATTAAAATTTAATGAAAAAACAATTTTAAAAAAAGAAAAGAAATTGATAATGTCCATCAGCAACAACGATATTCATTTGAGAAGGATAGCAGCAACAAAGGAATATCACTATCAACAACCTATTCATCAAGAGCAACCCATTCCCGAAGATAAAATCTCCAAAAATCAATCCACTGGTTCATCTTTGAAAATTATCATGAGCTTGTTAATATTCGGCTTTTGTTGTGCTCTTCTACTTGTAATCTTTACTCGTTCTTCATCTTCATCATCTTCAAATATTATTAATGATGATGACAATCATCACAGCATTCCTCAGGAAGCATCTCCTCCAATTAAGGAAAACTCTAAACAAGACCTCAAGAAACCCGCCACTGAAGGACTCGAAAAAAATACGCACGCATCTGATCACCCAACCAAACTCTCCAAATCTCTCAACCCGAAGAATACTAAGGATAAAGAGGTAGTACAGACAGAGAAGGAAGCAGATGTAGCCAGCACTATAAAACCATCATCCAAGAATGGAAAAATTAAAACAACTCAAGAGAAAAAAATGAATAGAATTGCACCATTGTTTATTGCTCATGGAGCTCCTACTTTGGCCATTGAATTGGATCATGCCATGAATAAGTTTTTGGGAAACAAGCTTTCCAAGCAATATAAAGGACAAGATGCTCCGAAGGCAGTGGTTGTGTTTACTGCTCATTGGGAAGATTCAATTGCAAATAATGGAGTTGCTATTACTTTCCATGATGCTAATACTGTTTATGATACAATTTATGATTTTTATGGATTCCCTGATGAGATGTATACTATCAAGTATCCAGCTAAAGGTAAGTTGACTGAATTGTATTGATTGACATTTGTGAACTGTACCAATACGAAAATGTATGAATTGATTAATTAGGTGCTCCACAAGTTGCTCAAAGAATAGAACAATTACTCAATCAGAATAATATCAAATCAAGAAGAGAATATAAAAGAGGCCTCGATCATGGTACATGGGTTGTTTTGCAAACTCTCTTCCCTGGTGCAAAAATTCCTGTAGTTCAATGCTCAGTCGATCCAAGAAGCTCAATAGAAACTCATTACAATATTGGAAAGGCATTAGCTCCTCTTGCCAATGAACAAGTTTTAGTGATTGGAAGTGGCAGTACAGTTCATAATCTTGGAAGAGTTAATTGGGGAAAGAAGACTCCAGATGCATGGGCAGTAGAGTTTGATGATTGGTTAGTTGACAGAATTTCCAAGTGGAACACAGAAGAATTATTTGCATACGAAAGGTTTGCACCAAATGCAAGAGCTGCTGTTCCAAGAAGTGAACACTATGTACCTTTGTTTGTAGCAATGGGTATGACACACGAAGAGAAGACCTCTAAGGTTATTGAGAGATTCTATGATCTTGGAAGTTTGAGTTATTTGAGTTTTTCCTTCTAACCATCACTGATAGTTTGAAATCACAATCTGTAAATAAACCATATTTCAATTTTCCTTTCGTACATTGTTTCATCAAGAAAATTTTCCACAATATCTGTTCACCTTGATCTTTGTAAAATGATCAGCCTGGAGTAATGCTCATTGTAAAAATTTCGCGTTTTTACCTCGGACAAAAATGTTGAATTACATTCGTTTCCAGTTGTAAATCAGCCATGGAAATGTTTCTATTTAGGTTTCAGGGAGATTTGAGAATGATGATCAAAGAAGATTGTGGTTGTTTGAAAAGAGTGTTGAAGGCAAATACGCACAAAAAATTGAACAACTTCTCTCTTGTCTCATCTTCAATCTTACACAACTGTTCTTTCCAGTTCTTAGCATAAATTGTAGTTAGACATTGTAAATTAATAATTGACAACACATCTAGAAGTAACTCCTATCAAATATTAGTCCAATTTTAAGGTAGGAATAATTTGTAGCACTCATTTCCGCTCATCACAAAAATTCCTTGGAAATTTTATCTTGAAAACTGAAAAAAATTTCCAACCGTCATTCTTGAGAAGCAACACGTGGAAAAATCAACCACAGAAAAAAAGTTGGAAAAACGTAAAGTCGATAGCTATCAAGAAGTTTTAATCTTGGAACAAAGACCTGCAACTACCCACTAATTCCTGAGCGAAAAAAAGGAACGCAATCTTTTTACACACAATACCACTATTCACCATAGGGTTTCTATCCATTTATTGCAGCATCAAACATATATGAAGATTTAGAGAATGTTTTTTGATGCTTCTACTTTAAAAGTTACCACTTCGGGTAACAGCAATCAGCAGCAGCAGAACAATGTCTCATCTGCATCAACCTCACAATCAGCAGCCAATCATCACCAACAACAATTGTTGAATCAGCTACAGAGACAATCATTGCAGAGGGGTAATTTATTTGCCATGCCAGGTACTCAGAGTAGCATGAATAGTACTGAAGAATTAAACCAATACAATCAAGCCTTGAATGCATTGCAATCAATTGAAAGTCAATTTGATCTAGGAGTTGAGGAATTCCTCAATGATGAAGATATGGATGACCAACAATCAAAGAATGACAATCAAATGTACTTTGATACATCATCTCTCTATTCGAATGGATCATCAAGTACAAATCCTCAACAAATCTTTGCCACCAACAATAATCAATTCCTTCACAATGCTCACAATACAGTTCTCCAACATAACAAGTTGTTACAAAGCTATTTAACAAGTATGACCCAACAGCAACAACAGCAACAACAACCACAACTTGTTTCTACCAGTAGGCAACAGGTACCAACTGCTATGAATGGTGTTGTGCAAGCAACAACAGCTCAGCAACAACAACCACAAAATGCTTACAAACAAAATTCCAATAATAATAATAATATGGGAATGGCCAGTTTGCCACAACAATCATCGAAACAATCATCAGCAGCTAATAGTAGCAGTGCTTTGAGTAATTTTGGAGCCATGATTTCAACCATGACTGGTTTGCCAGGTGGATACAATGCAAACTCAGCCCCTACCTCCAACAGCACTCCTATTTCATCCTCATCATCAAGTAATCAATTACAAACATCAACCAGGGACTCAAATTCGAGGTCTAGTGCTTCCCCTCCAACCACTCAATTCTTTCCAACATTGGACAAGGGTATCCATGCTGTGCAACAGGTGATTGTGAATGGTGGTATTACAAATGTTCAAATTTGGTCGAATTGTCTCATGCAATTAATTCCAGTTTTGAAAATAATGGACGATACAATTCCTGAAACTGTAATTGGTGGTAAATCAGTTTCTAATAGGAAAAAGACTCCTTTAACAGTGTCAATTGAAGTTTCCTTGGATAGGTTCAGAATGTTGGTGAGTACAATCATCAACATGATAAGGCAACGAAACTCAATCCTGGAAAAGGAAGGTGAAGCCTTCTGTCAAGTTAGTGAAAAACTCAACTTGACAATCAATTTGGAGGATCTCAAGACAAAGGTTCAAAGAAATGAAATTGCATTCAGTGATGATTTGTGGAGGGCTGATGTGACACTTCTTATGAGCAGTCAAGAACAAGATAAGGGCTTGACCAGAGACAAACCAAAGAAGAAAAAGTCTGAAAATAGTAGAGAAGGCTTTTCTGTCTTTTCTAATCCAGAAAACCCAGCTACCACCATCATTCAATATGCACCAATTAAGGCTGGTATTGTATCAAATAATAAGAAGAATTGTCAACTTCGTTACAAACTTTGTTACGACAATTGGTTGACTTACTATGTAGATTCCACTAAATTATTTGCCATTAATTGTGGTAAGAATACTAAGAGTAAGAGAAAATCCAAAGGAGGCGAAGATATTGGCAAAGATGAGGAAGATATGGACGAATTGTCTAATAATGGAGAAAACTCTCCTCCTTCCTCTCCTGTACCAAATAATGTATCATCTATCGTTGTACAAAGTCAAACACCAAAAGAAAAATTAACTAGGTCATCATCAACCGCCTCTTTGGGTTCTTCTTCCTCGACTGAAAAACCTCAAACTGTTGCAGTTGCTTCCAATGGTAGTTTTATAGTTTCTCCAAAATCTGGCTCTAATGCTGGTGGATATCTCATATTTATTCAATGCAATTTTGATAGTAGATTGATTACCGACCTACAGGAAGTTAAGGTTTTCCTTGGCGAGAAGGAAGTGGAAATTAAACAAATTAACCAAAATGCCATTTTTGTAATGGCTCCACAAATTGACTTCAAAGGAGAAGTGCCAATTGAAATTAGAACAAGTAACTTTTCAGTATCTAATCCACAAGACTTGAAGTTTGAGTTTTTGGATGATAGCAGTTCAAATATTATGGTTGGAGAATCTACCAAGAAGAGAAAGTTTGTTGATTGTTGTGATGGTGAGTGTGGACCTGTCTCTCTCACTTCTTCTAATTCCTCAAACGGTATTAGCAGTACTTTCAATCCAACAGCCATCTCCCTTTCCAAGGACAAGAAGAAGAAGAGAAAGGAATCATCAACACCTTACAGAAGAGAATGGGCCATTGTTATTGCCATCGATAAGTATCACCATAATGGACTTTTGCATCAATCTTCAGCCTCATCTGTTCACGATGCCATGAATATTTCCAACATTCTTTCAAAGATTTATGGTTTTGAAGTTAGATTATTGTTAAATGAGGAAGCTACATGGAGCAAAGTCAACCAGCTGTTTGTTTCCCTTGCAGAGAGTGATAGTTTGCAAAACGATGATGCCATACTCATTTTCTTTACTGGTGTTTCTCTTTCCAAGCAATACAATAACGGCTACACTGAAAATTATTTGGCCTTATATGATACTGATCCAGATAACCTTGTTAATACAGCCATTTCCCACCAATCCTTTGTCAATTTCCATCATAGATTGGCTGCCAAACATACCCTCTTTATTTTTGACACTTTCTATAATGGTATACTCATGAAAGTAGTCAATGATAGCCATCCATCCAAGGATATGAAGTACTATTCCTCCAACAAGGCCGTCCAAATTATTTGCTCCTCTCAAAAGAGTAATGGAATGAAACCAGGTGTCTTTAGTAAGGAGTTGGTAAATCTTTTAACAACTCTCAAATGGGGATCCAGTGTGAAAGGTCATTTAACTCTCACTCCATTCTACACTGCTAGTGATTTAGGAAAACAACTTCAAACAAGAGTTCACAAGGAAACAGGTGGCGTCCAAGTTCCAAGATTTGGAGAAGTTGAGCTTGGAGGAGGAAACTTTTTATTTATTCCAAAGTCCTACGAAAAGCACAGTTACAATTCTGAATTGGAAAGAATTGTATCACTCCTCTCACTCTATGAGGATTATATCCAAAACATGAATTTAGGTGATATGCACAAACATGAATCTGTAAGTTTTTGTTTAGTAACAATTTGTCCAATTAACCCTAATATAGTTGATGGCTCTATTGAAAGTTAAATTCTTCCAAATTTCCAATTACTACCTGCAGACATTTGAAAAATTGATTAATGAAGAAAAGATAGAACTTCGTTCAGATGTTTACACCAATCACAAATTGAACTTGACTGAAATTATCAAGACTGTTCGTCATAGTTATCTTGCTCTCTACAGATGGACTGGTGAATGGATTTTACATAATCCATATCATCTTGCCGATGCAAACAAAAAACTATTGGACATTAATCCAGGAGCTGTCGTGAAAAGAATTTTCGTTGTTGGAATTCCAAATATGACTGAATCTGAAGAAAAGGAATATTACAAGCTTATGCATTACCATCATTCATGTGGAATTGAGGTAAGAGTTGTTCATCACAAGGATCTGGATGATAGAAAAGAAATTCCACACAACTTTTCCATTCTAGACTCTAGACTTGGCCATTACCTTTCCTTTGAAGATGATTATCCAAAATCTGTCATTATTTTCAATAGAAAGAGTGTTGCTGACTTGTACTACTCCAAATGGGTCTATGTTTATAATCATTCTACACCATTTGAAGACTACATTAAAGAGAAATTCCCAGAAGGTGTCGATTTTGGCAATGTGACTCCATCAACTCTTCCTGCTGCAACCTGTACAGAAGCCAAACAATGTCATCCTCTTTGTAATACTGATCACACTGTGAGTGAAACCATTCCTCCTTCTAATACCTTGTATCAGGATAAGAATATGAGTCTCACTGATCCTCTCCTTTCATTTGATATTCATGAAAATATTGAAACTTTGCAAATTTGTTTGGATCCACTCTTACAAGGATTCAAGAAAAAGTTCCTCGAAATGATCAACACTCCAAAAGACAAGCATGCTCGTCATTGTGGTAAATGTCTTCTTTTACAAAAGTTCCACTCTATCAGTATGCACTATGAAAACCAAATTACAACCTTCTTTTCTAAAGGTGAAATTGTTGTCCATGCCAACTTTTATGATAGTATGAGATTAAGATTACACGATATTCAAGAATATGTTGAAAAGAGTCATCACATGATTATTCCAATTCACTCATGGACTGTTGCCAATAGTGTTCAATCACCATATTTTACACAAGAAAGTGTTCTTGAAGTTGCAGACATGAATAAGAGAGTCAATAAGAGAAATCCAAATATTACACTGGAATGTATTTTCGTATTCCACAAGGAAATATTCGATCAAAGCCAAGATAATGTAACTTCACAACAAATTATTTCTGGAGCATGGATTGAGGAAAATAATCTATCAAAGAATGATATTATCTATGGATTGAAATATTACAGAGATAGTGGAATTAGAGTTATGGTAACATTCTTGGATAGTATTGAGGAAGTTAAACAAACAGTTCCTGGAAGTTATTCTATCATTGATGGAAAAGTATGTGGTTCAACCATTCTCTCAATTGAACCATCCAAATGCTCAGGAACTCATGCTTTCTACATGAATGCCATCGATAGTGGTGAGAGTAACGTTAAACAAAATAAGGAATTATTTGAAAGTCTTAGACAACGCTCCATTCCACTCGATGATTTCCTTGTAAAGTATGATGCCCCTTCTTCTTCCACAACATTGTCAAGTGAAGCTGCAAGAGCAATGATGGAAGATAGCAAGTAAATAATTAACCTTTTTCAGAATTAAATCAAAAATGCAAGTAATTTGTTCGAAATAAGAATTTAATTTTGATTACTCTATTCAGTAATTAGTTGAATTCTGTTTGGGTCATCATTGATTGAGCGTCTAATCTTTTTATCTACCTTCCAGTGAGGACTCATATGAGTTGGTGCCAAAACATCAATAAAGTTTTGTCTCCACATGATACAGAATTCATCCAATTTGTCCAGATATTCATCGTCGTTTTTACACGACTCCTTCATTGCCTTGATAACTCCTTCTCCGTGTGATTGGAATAATGTAGTGTCAGTAACTTGAAGTGAAGCAATATCTTCAAGAATTTCCTGAGGTATTGGATCATTTTCATCATCATCCTCATCATCTGTTGGATCAGAGTACTTTCCACATGATTTGATGAAAATTCTGAGTTCATATTCCAACTCTTCCACTCGATTGGCTGGCATTTTGTCCTTGGATTTCAAAATAGCATTTGCTGCCTTCTTAGCACTTGCAAAATCTACATTCTTTACCATTCCAACTCCTCCAAGAGGCGATCCATACTTTTCCGATATTTGTTTTCTCAATTTAAAAGCTTCAGTTTCATATTTCTCATGGCAATGAGCACACAAAAGACAAACATCGTGTGACGAGTGAGATCTCACAAACTCTGGCATGTGTTTTCTATATTCAAATGAGATAATATGATGTCTTGTCAACTCCTTATCAACTCCACAAGCAACACAAATATTTTCCATCTTGGAAAGATAAAAATCATCATCCTTATGTCCGTATCCTTTTGGTCTGAACATTAATTTAATACTATTCTCATTAATTTGTTCAGCCAATCCTTTCTTTAAATACCAATTGAATTTGCGTTGTTCAATCTTTGCTAACAAGACCATATCATCCGAATACAAATTCAAATCATCATAATTATTACGAGAGAGTGTAGCATGACCGTGTGCTCTCTTATTAGAAGATGATTCACCATTAGGATTCATCTTTTTAGCTTGTTTTTCCCAGTACTTTCTCTCCTCTTCAGATTCAAAATAATCTTCATCATCCTCATCATCAGACTCCATATTTTCAAAGAGTCCTTGCTCCTTCTCTTCATTCTTTCCTACAACCTTATCCTTTTCATCCTCTTCAAAGAAGAATTTGTAATCAACCGAATTATTCTTTATATTATTATCAATTTCAAAATCTTGTTGAGCAATCATTTCCTCCAGAGTTAATTTTCTACTACTACTATTTTTATCACCAACAATAGGTGTTGTATTTTGATGCTCCGATAAACAAGACGGCGACAATGATTCTAATGATTGAGACATTTTTTTCAGACTTTAATTGTAAAGTGTTTGATGGAGCAGGGATTGGAACTTGTGAAAGTCTGAAATTGCACTTTGGAATAAAACACGTTTTTTGATGGTAGCTTACCGAGTACTTGTGTGCTTGTTTAAAATTGATGAACAAATGACAGTTTTGAACGACAAAAAAGTATCCCTTGAAATTTCTATTAGCAAAATGATTCTCCCATGCCGGGAATTGAACCCGGACCTCCTGGGTGAAAGCCAGGTATCCTAGCCATTGGACTACACGGGAATCTTATTCACGATGAAAATTCATCGATTAAGAATATTAATTTTAAGCATAAGAGTGAAATAACTTAGCATGAAGCCTTCGTTCTTTAAAATACAAGAAAAAAAAGCCACAAAATGAAACGAAAGAATTTAACAGATTCATCACTGAAGAAGGCTCCTCCCAGTAAAAAGAGCAAAGAGACAACAAGCCTTAAATCATACAACCAACAACAATCCAATCAACACGATAGGGTGAAACTAATTCTCTCCGATTTATTCGAATCAACTAATGAAAATCAGCAAAGGCTTCGGGATAAGTTTGTACTACAATCGAAGGGAAAAGTTAAATGGCTAGAGAATAGGAATGTGATCAATCCCCACATTCCAATTGAGTTTTCAAAGGATAAGGAATACATTTGTAATTATCTGGCCAAACGCAAAAACCGCCACAGATTATTAGAAACTGAATTGAAATCTATTCATGAGGATTTATTTCAAGATTTGGATGTTCTGTATTCTATTATGAAATATCAGGATAACTCAACTATAAACTGTTTGATAGATTATATCGATGAACAGAAGGCGAGAGCATTAGTTGGTAAATTTGGTGTTTCTGCATTGTTGAGACATCCAATATTAATCAATATTTATCCCTATTTGCTGGTGAAATGTATTAGAGAATTGCAGGATACTGAAACAATATTAAGAATAATTGGAGAACTGCACATTCCATCCTTATTTTACTTAGGTTTTTTCACTGATGATAAGGAGATAATGTTAAAATCCATATGTGATCATAATCTCACAATTAATATACTATCAACAGACTTGTTGGATGATGAAGACTTTTTGTATGAGCTGGCTCTGAAAATGAATCAAAAAAATGGTTATTTTGAGTCTAAATATCTATCTTCCAGACTCTTAGAAGATGAGTCATTCATGTTGAAATTGGTGAAACTAAAGGGAGATCACTTGAGAGATTGTCCATTGATAGATGATTCTGCATTTATGTTGAGAGCTATCATGGAGAATTTTGCAGCAATTTACCATGTACCAGAAGATATGAAAAATGACCTCGCATTCCTTAAACAAGTGGCTGGACAATGTGCTAAATCTCTACTGCTTATTGAAATAGATATTGCTGTATTGACATCACTTCAAAAAGAAGTACTAAGAAATGTTAAAAAAGAAAGATCGGACAAGAAAAGAATTATAGACCTCTTCATATTTAATCCGACTTTCTTAAAACATGCATCTGAAGAATTATTGCAAGACAGTAGTTTCATGACAAAATATTGGGAAGATTTCTGTAACCTTCACGCACGTTTTTACAAATCACTTCCACTGATAGATTTGTCTTGGCTTCAAGATTTCAACTTTATGAACCAAAGGAAAAAGGACGAAGAATACATGATCTCACTAATTACAATTAACCATCACGCATTTCATTTTGCTGCTGATAATCTTCGCTGTGACAAATCATTTGTGCTTAAATCCCTCCAAGCAAAGAAGAAAACCTCTAAATTCATTCCAAAAGAATTATTCGAAGACAGAGAATTTGCTTTGAATTGTTTGAACATAACTGGTAGAGTTTTCAAGCACTTTCCTGATAGATTCAAAGGTTAGTTTTCAAATATCTTTGTATTTATTAATTTTTCATAGATGAAGAATGTTTTGTCTGCTTAGCAGTAAAGCAACACTTTAGTAATATGCGTTTTGCATCAGATAGATTGAAGGATGACAGTGTTTTCCTTCTTAGATTACACAAAGAACGTATAGAATTTGAGTTAACAAGAAATGCCATTTCACATCGTTTACAAAATGATGAGAACTTTCTTTTAGATCTACTCGAAATTCATATTACCGAACAAATGGTTTTTTTCTGTTCAGAAGGAGTATTAAAAAACAAAGAGTTTGTTCTTAAGGCAATGAAACGTAGTAGAGATGAGGATTTGTTTATGAATTTTAGTGGTAGTAAGGAGATTGCCAGAGAAGCTGCAACATTAGGATGTGATTTAGCTAATTTTGATGATAAAATTTATAACGATAAGGGATTAAGGCGTTTAGTAGCCAAACATTCAGGAATTCAAACAGAATTTTCACAAGAATTATTTGATTTACGTATGGAATTTGCTTATCATGATTGCAAAGTTTAATTAATGTAAATAACAACTTGTACCAATTTCTAATTCAATTCTGAAACTCATACTCTCAAACATGAACAAGAAGGAATGGTTATGGTCATAGTCAGTTAAATGTGCAAGTTATCACTGAAATTATTGCAATGAAAAATTACAATTTCCAATAAAATCTAAAATTAACAAAAATTTCAAAAATTATTATATTATTATTAATTATCCAATTTAAAATTGTTCTTTCAGTCTCTGACTGACAGTTCTCAATTTATTGTACACGACACCAGGTGGACTACCAAGAATAAGATCAACAATTGCACTTCTAGCCAATTGAATATTTGCAAAGGAACCCATCACATGAATACGAGCATCGGCAACAACAATACGAGTCTTGGTTGCATTCTCAATTGTAAATTTGACTGCACCTCCTTTACCAGCAATACGAGCAATAGCTCTGCTCAAGTGATCACCTTGTAAAGAACGTTTAACATCTTTAACATCAAAGGATTCAATATAGATATCATCCAATCGCAACAAAGCAAGAGAATCTTCAACTGAAAAACCAAGCATAAAGGCTTGAACAAAATCTCTAGCTTTGGTTAAATTCTTTAACATTTCGTTATCTTCACTTTCTTCTTCATCTTCTTGCTTTTTAGTATTGTTTGGTATTCTAATTTCTACTTTTTGTTGTTTGGTATTTACTCTTACTTGGAGATGAAGTTTTTCAACAATAGGAGTATATATGGATTCCCATTCAGTTTTGAGGGCTGTGAAACGATTAGCTGCAATACGAACACTCACGTAATTGCTATTTTGTGGGATTGTCTTGTTACGTTTTATGGATTTAATTGTTGTTGATGTTGATGGTTCTTCGGTATTGTCTTGTTGTTCGGATGATGATTCATTCATCTTGGTATCATTATATGGTTTAGAAATTGACTTTTTGAGGTGATATTGCTTTCGTCGTGATTTACCAGTCTTGGCTGCTTGAAATTCTGGTTCAGCAGTTGTTGTTTCCATTTGAGCATCTTCTTGAGCCCATACGTTTGTTTGTTCAGTTTGCATTTTTTTTTTGAAGTCAATTCTTTTGCAATTTTGAATATTTGAATTTTTTCAACTAACTACTTTCATCACATCTTATTATTTAAATTATTTAAATTAATATTTAAATTAATATCAGAAGGAAGAAGATAGCATGTACCAGGATATTTGAATTAATTTATTTTATTTAGATGTGTATATTATCTAGAATATTGACTTGAAATAAATTCCTTCATCAGTCCGTGGAATTCTCTCTTGCAAACCATCATCATCTTTTCTTCACTGTGCCACAAAAGAGCTCCTTGTCTTCTTGCATAGTCAACGGTGGCATTCAATTCGCTTACATTGGTAAATTTATCGTATACAACACTGGTAGTCTTGATAACTCTGTTTCTTTCCTTTTCCCAGAGGAGAATTTGATCAGAGACAGTATCAGGAATGACAGGCTTCTTTAGTCTCATTTGAGGGTGAGCATTCAATCTTAAGAATTGAAGAATTTGGTGCGCACTGATACCATTTTTCAAAGCTTCTCTGATTGTACTTCTTGTAATTAATCCAACAACCATGTTTGGTAAACGATATTCAGGGAAAATAAATAGGGAAAGGAGAGCAATTTGGAGTGGAGAATTAGTATAGGCATAAACTCTATAGTTGGTCTCTACAATAATATATCCATTATTGATACTATTGTGAGATCCAAATGATGAAATCAAATCATAACTTGTACTCATTGAGACGGTCAAACTTTTGGCGAGAGGTGTTGGGAAGAAGTACTTGTCTTTAATCTTCTTCTTTTTATCTCTGTGAAGATAAATTATACCAAGATCATTAAAATCGACGAGTAAACTCTTTTGAGTACTTGTCAGATCCTTACTACTATACTCTTTTCCAACATCCAAAAATCCCAATTCGAAAATAAAATTAAGAATTTCATTCTTGACTTGATTTCTTTGTCCAGATGTTTCAAGATAATGTTTAAGAAGTTTCCAAACTTGAACTTTGGTTTCTTGAAGTAAAAATTGGAAACCTTCATTGGTAATTCTTACAGTATCAGATTTTTTGATTAATTGTGAATACTTGAGCAGTTCATTAACATTTCCTGAGAATGTTTGCTCTGATTCAGCTGCTGTTCCTACTAGATATAACAGTACATTTTCCCATTTTCTTTTAGAATATTCTTGTAAGAATTCAGCTCCAATTTCCTTAGTCTTGTGCTTTTTTCTCTTTTTCTTTTTTGGTTCCAATTCATCCATATTTTCTTCTGATATACTTGTTTCTGGTTCTTGTTCCTTCCTCTTGTGACTAGAGGAGTGACTTGTTGTTGGAGCTTGTGCTGATGGTACACTGGTGACTAAATTCCTAAATGTATCTTGGAAATATCTATTGAGTGTAAAATCGGAATTTGATGTTTTTGAAATGATTCTATATTTTAAAAGTTGTGAAAAGGCATTTTCGTGAGCATCTCTTACTTCTTGTAAAATTGCTTCTTGATCTTGTTCTCTTCCTTTCTTTGCTCCATTGGAATCGAGATATCCAGACAAGTTAGTAAGTTTTTTAGGAATATCCATAGCAATTTGTTGACTATTAATACTACCACACAACAACATTCTCATCACATATTGTTTAGCAATATCCGGCAAGAATCTAAACACAGCTTTACATGTCCAAGTGTGACCATACAATAAATTCAACTCATCTGGTGTTAAAGTCAATAAATAGGAAAATATATTGTCCGATGAATCCAACCCTTCATTAACACTTTTTGTAGGTTGTGATGATGAAGAAGCGTTGAAAGACATTTTTTTTTGATTAAAAAATTTTATTAATAACATTTATGTGATGGAAAGTGTAAACGATCATCATGTGTATGTTTCTAACCTAAAAGTCTGATTGTTGAGAATTGAGTGATACTCTAATTCAAGCTTGATTTAGTTTGCTTGTAGAAATTGGTTCATTCTCAACAAAAGTTTCGGAAATGTTACAGAATTTATGGACCTTAAATCAAGATTCATTAGAGACGAGTCCACAATTATTAAGTTAAAAAAATGCGAAAAAAGAGTGCCATCAACCAGACTGAACACACTTACTCGAAGTTACCACTTGAACAAGAGTCCTCTTCTTTTAAATCCGAGGCAGCTCCCAATCAGCTCCTTTCTCTTGTGGCTCTTAAAATCACACACACAGAAACACCCCATGCTATAGCTCATGTCATTGTTTCGAAAAACAACAAAAAGAAAGAGAAAGAAAATTGGAAATGCCAGATGGTCTTTCATCGCTGTATAAAAGAATATTTGGATAGGAATGAAATGGAAAGGTTTGAAATTAAATTCGTTTTTGCTGATTCAACCTATGACTCGCTCGTTACAAGATTTGGCAAAGCCACACCTATCTCAGATAGTGATTTTATGAACTATGAATTCATTTACAATCACCCTGTCAAGAGTGGTATGACCCAATACACGTTCAAGACATTTAGTGTTCGAGTTGGATTTAAAAATAGTGCTGAGGTGGATCATCATTTATTTAACATGGTTATCTTTCAAGAAGACTTTCCAGGTTCTTTCGAATTGAAAACTCAACACTCTTTCTATGAGGCACTGAAAAAAAAGGAAGATTGTGAGGATTTTGTTCAATATTGGGATTCGTTATGTGCTACAAGAACATTGGGGCTATCTAAAATAGATTATAACCATTTAACAAAGGATGAAAAGTTGACTTCCTTAATCAAAGATCCTTGGTTTTGTTTATTTTCACTGTTGGAGAAAGAAGATGAAGGTGAATGGCTTTCAATCTTGAAAAAGTTGGATGACAAGGTAAATTGGGATAAGCTTAAATGTACTTCTCAAAAATTCTTCAAAAGTACAAATTCATTATTGCATAGATATCAATTACAAGAGGGGTTGGATAAGGTTATGGGAGAAGTGAGTTATTTCTCAACATTAGAGTCCAATTCCTCAACATTGGAACTGATTGTTCGATTGTCTGGCATGGTTCTAAAAATGAAACAAAATTGAATTTAAACCAAATATTATTAATGGCTCTCATTGTCAATAGTCCAAACTATTTGTCTTGTTCACTTGCTTGTTTCTTGTCAAATAGATTGTTATTAATTCATTTAATACCTCTTCTGTTTGCATGACAAAAAGCAAGCTGCTCAACTACGACTTGTTAAGCGCAGGTACTCCAGAAGGATCTACACAGTTGATTTCTTTTCCAATACAAGCAACGTGTCAAAATTTGAATTGACAATGAGAGCCATTCCTTACAACATTCTATCCAAAAAGCTCGTAGACCGATTTTGTTATAGGAACAGATAATAGAGTTTTGCAATTTTCCTAATCACCTCAAATTGCAAGCCACATTAAAGAAAAATCCAGTCACTTAAACACGTGTTCATCAAAGCAAAGTAGGACTGGTTCATCAACAAAGAAAAATGATCAGCCACCAACATGATAAGCTACATGGTGCGGAGCAGCACGATGATGTAAATAATAGTAATAATTATAATGACAAACATGATGCTGATGATGATAACAAGAATACAACTCTTAGTACGACGGAGAAATCTTCATCTTCTAACAATGATCCTTCTAAAGCAACAACAACAACTACATTTGAGAGGAACAAGTATTTATTGGTGATTATTGTTGGTATTATATTTCATTGTGCTTACATGATGAGTATATTTGATATTTATTTTAAATCACCAATTGTTCATGGAATGAATCAATATAGTTTTGATCAGTATGCTAATAATTCTTCATCTACTCTGAATAGTGGACAATCATCACCGTTTGCAAAACGATTGATTTTCATTGTCGGAGATGGTTTACGAGCTGATAAATTATTTGAGATTATTCGTGATAAAGACAAGATGGTTGGGGATTCTGAAAAGTATCAATTTCTCATTCAGAAAAAGAAGAGACAAGTGGCTTCAGTGCCTCATAGTATTTATGAAGGAAGTTTGGATTCACAAAGTTCTCTCAATGATGATTTAGAGGTTTCAGCTCCATTCTTGAGATCTAAAATGGAATCAGTGGCAAGTTTTGGAATTTCTCACACTAGAGTGCCAACAGAATCAAGACCTTGTCATGTGGCCATGATTGCAGGATTTTATGAAGATGTCAGTGCAGTGACAACAGGATGGAAGGAAAATCCAATAGAATTTGATAGTGCATTCAATCAAACTAATTATGTTCTTCAAATAGGATCACCAGATGTTGTACATTTATTTAAAGGAGAACATATTGATACTTTTAATTATCCCCCAGAGATGGAAGACTTTGTAATGCATGACAAATCATCTTTGGATAGATGGGTTTTTGATAAGTTTGAAAATTTAATCACTCACGATGAATCTGTCAAGAACAAACTCAAACAAGACAAGACAATTATTTTCTTACATTTACTCGGAATTGATACAAGTGGACATGCCTATAAGATGGGAAAGGGCTACTATGACAGTATTCGTTATGTGGATGAAGGAGTTGAACGAGTTCACAAATTGGTTAATGAATTTTTTGGTGACAATGAAACAGCTTTCATCTTTACAGCAGATCATGGTATGTCCTCTAAAGGTGCTCACGGTGATGGTAATCCAGAATGCACAAGAACACCACTTGTAAGTTGGGGTAAAGGTATTCGACCATTCTATGAAGGTCAAGGAAATATCATTTCTGATGGATCTTTCCCAAGTTCTACTGCAGAGGAAAAATATGTAAAACAATCATGGATGGTCAATCCAAAATTCAGAAAGGATATCAAACAAGCTGACATGTCTGTATTGATGAGTGCTGTTTTGGGAATCCCATTCCCAATGAATAATGTTGGTTCTCTTCCTCTTTCATATTTGGCAGGTGATGAGAAATTCAGAGCTATTAATTTTCACATTAATGCCAAGCAAATTGTTGCGCAATTATTGCAAAAGCAAGCTGCTAAAAAGGAGAAGACTCTATTATTCTTCAGAGAATACATGTCAAAGGAGGTACTGGACGCAAAATCAAATGCCATCACAAAGAAAATTATGGCTGAGGACTATGCTGGTGCAATGAACGATATTCAAGAATTGTTAAATATTGGTATTAAGGGTCTCAATTATTACATGACCTACGATTGGCCACAATTAATGTCGATCATATTTTTGGGATATGTTGGATGGATGTTTTACTTGATGGTATTTTGTTTGAGACATTACACGAAACTTGGTCATGAGGTCAAGGGTGATAATAACTTGTTTATCATTGGTTTTATTGCTATTACTACATTGATTAGTTTGAGTAGTTATATTTTCTTACAGAATGATCCATATCACTACCACATGTACACCATCTTCCCAATATTCTTCTTCTCCTACATTTTGAATCATGTAAGATTGATTTATCAATTCTTTTGCAAGTACTTTTCATTCCAAAAGGATGGTCAATCTCTCTTCATTATTATTGTTGTCCTTGAAGTTATGGTTTGTGGATACTTTTCTAGGGATATCTTCTCAGTTTGTTTTATTATTCTTGGAGTGGCTCCAACTATTTTGGAAATGAATTTCTCATACAGATTTGGATGGCTCACAACATGCATCATTATGAGCTTGTTTACATTACTACCTGCTGATTATGGAAATGATATTTCACTTGTTATTATTGGTACACTCATGTTCTGTGCCTGCCAAATCACTTGGAGAGTTATCAAGCCACCAAGAGAGAAATCCTTCTTCCAAGATGTTCTCTTCTTTGGACAGCTCACAGTTATAGCTCTAGCTTGTGCTGTGACAGTCAGTACTGATGTTTCCATTGCTAATAGAAGTGGTCTTCCATTACCTAATCAAATTGCTGCCTGGGGTCTATCTCTAATTTCCCTATTGCTTCCTTTCTTGTCTTCAAATGCCTATCAAGTGAGAGCTCAGAGCATCTTGTCTGGTTTTGCAACTCCATTGGTATTATTGAGTGTTAATTATGAAGTATTATTCTATGCTGGTATTCTAGTTGCATTCCTTTTCTGGATGAGACAAGAGAAGAAGAAGAGAAAGAAGGATGAGTCATTCACACCTGGGTGGCTTTCTAAATCAGAATTCAGTACTGCCATCTTCTTTATTTTCCTATTCAATGTTGGATTCTTTGGAACAGGTAACTTGGCCACAATTGCCAGTTTTGAATTGAGTTCAGTTTATAGATTCATTTCTGTATTTAGTCCATTTACTATGGCAGCAATTTTGATTTTCAAGCTTGCCATACCACTCATTGCTGTTACCATGATTTTTGTAATCATTCTCAAAGTTACTGGAACTCCTCATTTTGCTGCTCTCTTAATTGTTCTAGCTTTGAGTGACATTATGACAATTAACTTTTTCTTCCTTGTCTCTGATGTTGGCAGCTGGCTTGAAATTGGTAACAGTATCAGTAGATTTGCCATCGGAAATGCCATGATTATCATCCTCCTTCTCCTCTTCTCATTTGCTCAAATCTATGTCGGAAATGTGAGCAATAGCAAACCACAAATTACAGATTCCAAACAAAAGAAGGATTAGTCTCTTTCTCATATTCAATCTAACAACCTTCTATTTTGACGATAAATTTTAATTGAAATTTAATTTTTTTGAAATTCCACTTTTATCCACAGATCCAAATATGTTGCACTACCCAAATTCCCACAAAAAAAATAAAACAACAACAACCTTTGGGAAATGAATCATGGAGGAGGGGATAATGATTGGGATGATGTTTTTGTTTCATCATCTACAACAAATGGTGGAGGAGGAGTAACAAATTCTCAGCAACAAGGTCCTACGAATGATGTGATATTTGCAACCAACAATTCATTAGGTTCTTCTTCTTCTTTCGGAGGAGTTAATAATAATCCATATTCTTCTTCATCAACTCTATATTCTAATAACATCACCACCACCAATAATAATTACAATAGAAATGAACCAGTTTTGATTGATGAATATTCATCTTCAACAATTAATTCAGCATCAAACTCTAATTTAATTGGACTTCATGAACCAACACTGAATGATTTGGTGAATAATAATAATAACGGCGGATTAAAGAGTAAAATTAAAAACAAGTTAAAGAGAAAGAAGAAGAAGGGAGGTGTTAGATTCCAAGATGAAGCCAATGATGACGATAATGACGATGATGATGAAGTTTCTTCTAGTGATGAGGATGATGGTAAAGTTAAAACTGATAGAGTGAAACCATCACTTCCTCTCCAAAAACAAGATACCAATGAGAAGGGATTTACTGAGGTTATTTTACCACCTCTTCCAGAAAATAGAGCCATCAATAATTTATCATCACAACAAACAATTAATAGTGGATCGACAGGTGGTGGTGTTAATGGTGGTGCTACTACAGAGGAACCTGTTTCGAAATTAATGAAAGGAGATACACCTCATTGGCTCTTTATTTTGTCATTTGTAGTTCCGACTATTGTCGTTTGCTCAATTCTGGCAGCAATTCAATTGGGAGTTTGTGCCTATTTGTTTGGACAAATTAATTCTGATCCTACATTTAAGAATGACCCAAATGCACTGACATGGGAACATAATTGTACTCTTGTTGATATTAGTAATGATTGTGCTGAAAGAGGAAAATATTTGGATAGAGGAACTTATTGTTATTTTGATGTGAAATTTCCAAGTTTGAAAAATGTTACAGAGAATAATGGAACAATTTTGGAATTGACAACATTTTTACCTTATAATATGGAAGAAACAGGAATTTATTTTCCAATGAAAGTTGGAGATATTGTTTTGTGTTATACTAATAAGAAGGAGGATTTGGTTAACATTATTGAACCAATCTCGACACGATACGAAGCCTACTATGTTGCAGGTGGTATTTTGGGAGTCTTTGGAAGTATTTCAGTGGTAGCTGCTGTTTGTGTTATCCCTACGGCCTTTGTTCGTCCCAAGAATAGAATTTATTAAAAACATATTAATTTATTTCAAAGATATAATTATTCACTCTTATCCAAAACGCTGTAAACAATGTTTGCGACAATACAATAGACAATAGCAATAGCTCCAAATGCAATACAGATAACAGCCAAAATTGGAGAACTGATGAATTTCCTAGTGTATGGTGTTTCGCTCTTGTTGAATCTCTTATTTGCCTTATATTTGGAAACAAGGAACAAGAGTGGTGGAATGACAAAGGTAATCAAAAATCCAAACAATCCAACATATTTCAAAATAAATTCCAAATCAGAAACAAATAAAGCTCCAATAATTGGTGGAATGGCAGCCACCAATCTGAAGAAAACTTGAATCTTTCTGCTTGCTAAATATTTAGTTCCTGTAAAGAATGCAGCATGAATGTTGTTACCTAATGTGATGGCATTCTTTGTAAATTGTTAATAATTCCACACAAAGAGATTGATTCCTAATAACTTACCAATGGGAATGCAGACAAGACATCAATAGCAGGGAATAAAATAATGAGATAGATAATAAATTCAGCCCAAATTGGTGTGCTCATACCAAATGGCTTACCACCTCTGTAGTATCCAAAATTGAGAGAGCAAGGAGCTTGAATATTTTCACCATAATATACAGCAAGTGTGACACCCAATAAGGTATAAAACAAGTAGGTTGTAATAAATGTTGAGGTGAAAATTGCTGGCAAGTGTTTCTTATTTCTCACAGGTTCACTCAACCCTGGAACTGAGTGATGCAAAATTTGAGCATAAATGCAAATTGGAAGTAAGACAAATAATCCATCACCTGATGCTAAACTTGTTTTAGAAACATAGGGTGGATGTCTTTCCATGGCAGTGTGAGGATTAGATGGATATCTAGAGTATGGATCAACAAAAATTGAAACGAATGAAACAACAATCATTAAAGCCAAAGCAACATATCTGAAAATGGTCAAGATAATTTCTATAGTGATAATAATAATATTTCACACAGTTTACAATGGTTTCGTAAAGATGTGTAATAATAATTCAACTACTTACGAACCGGTTTTTGTTCAGTCAAATTGAGACATGTCATTGGAATGACAACAAGTGCATAAATACCAACATAAATCTTATACAAAATATCACATGAAACTGAATTATCCGAATTCACATTACAAGTGTACCATCCATTAATTGGCAATGGAACGTGTGAAGCCATACTTTCAGCAAAAACAGTTGAATAACTCCACAATGATCCATACAAGTAAAAGCACAATGCAATATCATAAATAATTTTGCCAAATCTTCCCAAAAACAATCTACACAATTCATTCATTTCATAACGACGTTCAGGAAAATGAAACAAATCCTTCTCCTCACCAATTTCAATTAAATTATTACTGGCATCCAATCTCAAAACGTCCTCATCTTGAAGATGTTTCGATTCTTCTTCTTGTTCCTTAAAGAAAGGTGTTGCTCTACACAGAGTTTCCAATATCCAATTCAACACCAATGCAGCAAATATCGTCACAATCAATAAGAAAACTGGTCCAATAATAGTTCCTCCCTTTTGAAAACCATTAGGAACACCTATTAATATCCACAAAATATCACAAATAACAGCAAATCCAATGAAAAATCATCAAATTCATCATTCAACCACAAAAAATCCACAAAAAATCATCATCACGAATTTTTCATTTAAAAAATCAAAAATAAAATGTTTTCGTACGGAACAATTTTTCGCAAATTAATTTTTTAAATTATTTAAATTCTTACCCAACACTCCTACTCCAAGAATATAATTCACGCAAAAACAATACGCAACAAATGATCCATAGGTGTGCGCCTGATTATTCGATTTGTTTTCGTGGCTTTGTCTCTTCGGAGCACTTTCTACACTGATTCTATCATCGGCATGATAGGAATCAATGGTTGCTGAGAGGCCACCTTCATCTGATGATTGAACAGAGGTGCCGTATCGTGAGGGTGTTGACATTTTTTTTTTAAATTTCAACATTTACTCCGATCGCGTAACTCCGAATAAGGAATTTAGTGAAAGGCTCAACATTGAGAAGTAATAATTATTGTGAGAGAAGTTTCAATATTTGAAGAATTTTCAATTGTCGATAATGATTAAAAAATCGAGATGAAAATTTGTGGATACAATTGATCTTTCGAATAAAAACAGAACTCCAAGAAGAACACTGTTGGCTATCCACTCAATTTTGTTTCAATCCAATGAAAAAATACTGAATTAATGACTTGTTTGTTATAACAACTTTATGTTAATTTATGATATTAATATTCAACAGGGGAGTTTGTTAAAATTGAAATGTTCTCTTCCAACTGTGAGGGGTATTCCTCTGCTAATCCTGCAGCTTTAAATGTTCGTTAATAATCGTTGCGCTTACTATTGTTACTATTGATTATACAATACAGTATTGAAAGTCATTCTTTAAAAATCCATATCATCATAAATTAAGCGATTGGTTCTTTGAACTACTAGGCTTCCACGTTTCAATATTACAACAAGTTGAAAATCAGTACGCCAATGTGATCAGGTCAAATTTCCAAAAGAAAAGGTATGGATTCGTTGGGGTCTTCTTGAATTTCTAATGAATTGTGGTTGAGGCATTTTCTTAATCATCTAATATTTTGTTGCGATTGGAAATAATTGTTTTTGCATGTGAGAGTATAGAAGTCCTTTACAAGATTTTTACAATATTCGATACTAAACTTCCAAGTTCAATACCGTAACATAAACTATTAATAATTTAAATATTTAAAAAAATGATTGCATTTGTGTTGACTTTATTTTTTCTCCTCTTGCTCATAATTTGGTTATTTGGCTCTCGATTGCTCTCCGTGTTGGATCGATCGGGTAAAGTAATTTTCCATGGAAATTTACGATCATCATCGGATCAAAATAATAATAATAATAATATTAAATTAAATAACAATAATAATAATAATAATAATATGGGTGATGCCGATGATGAGAGAAGGAATTACCAGCAACAACGAAAGAGAATTGCCATTACAATTGATGATGTTCCTTGGAAATATTCACTTCCAAAGCCTTTGAAAAAACAAGGCTTGAAATTAGAGACGAGTATTGCTGAGATTTGTTCAGTGATGGAAAAGTTGGGTGATTGCTGTGCTACATTGATGATGATTGGAAGTTATGCAACTCGAAATTTGAAACATGATGAGGAATTGACCAGTAAATTTGTGGAGTGGATTGATGATGGATTAATTGAGTTGGCTAATCATGGAATGACAAATAGCAGGCATGCTTCGTTGAGTAGGGAAAAATTGAGAGAGGAAATTGTGCAGAATGAAACGACATTGAATGATTTGTTGTTGACTAGAGTGAATGCAAAGAGGGTTACACCTCTAGAAAGTGTCCTGACTAAATTTTACAGACCTGGTCATGGATTTTTCACTAATGAAATGATAGAGTTGGTTGATCAACTTGGCTATAGAATAGTTTTGGGAAATATTTATTCATTCGATCCACAAATACCTGTTTGGTGGTTGAATTTTGTGAATATTGTAATGGTTTCATATTTATATGATATTTTGAAATTCATTTCGTTTGGATATTTTGCAACGAATGATGATCAAGCTATTGTAATTTTACATGATAGACCTTGGACTGCCAAATTGTTAAACTATTTGGTTCCATTCCTTAAATGGAGAGGATATGATATTGTTTCCCTTAGTGAAATTGTAACCAAAAATTAATTTATTTAGTGGAGGTGGAAGAACATGTTCGAATCTTGTAAAGCACACATAAAAGTCTTTGTAAACTTGAAGCACAGAAAAGTCTTGTCAATAATTTATTGTAAATAATTTGACACACAATTGAAAATAGTTAAAAATTATTAAAACTTCATGTAGAGAGAATAGTTACTTTTTTGGAACAATCACCACAACACAACAGTATTAAATTAGTAAAAAAAATGTCAACAAACAAATTATCAAATCTTGCAGGTCAAGGATCCCCAACCAAGGATACAAGTGATGCCTCACCCTATACACCGAGTGATGGATCTCTCGGATTTCATCATCATCACAAACCCAATCTTACAGTTCAAATCAATGTAAAAACACCAATAGAGTTGGAAGCCCATAAAATTGATTTTGAAGGCAATATTGTAAATAGTCCGAATACATTATCTGATAAACAGTTGACAAAGATGGGAAAGAAACAATTGAAAACCAAGTTATTGTCACACGATAGTTTAAATGATGAGGGTTTTCATATGGAAATAGAAACACTTTCCTCAGATAAAAAGAATTATGAGAGTGTTGTTTCGAATAAGCCGTACAAACAACAGGATGTTTCTTTAGATCGATTATGTTCTATTGATTCCATGAAAAGTGCAGGTAGTGTTGTCGAAGTGAAAAGTATCTTGAAAAACAGTACAGGAAAAACAGAAACACAACCTCCAAAGAAATGTACATATCATCAAGAAATGGATGCTTCCTGGATTTGTGAAAAATGCAAAAATGATGTTTGTGAATTGTGCTCAATGAGCAAAATGGCAACCTCAAATCCAATGATCTGTCACCATTGCTTTGATGAGAGAGCTAAAAACCTGAATATGATTTGGTTATGGATTGGAGCCTTTTGTATAGGGATTATTTGTCCACCTCTCATGGTGGCTGCTCCTCTCGTGATTATACTTAGATCACAAAATGAAAAATTCAAGAGAATTGCATGGATTTTCTTTTGGGTTATTACCTTTGGTTTATTCTTTTTGCTTAGTAGTGGATTGATAATAGCCATTGCATTGAAATATGCTGGTAAATTGAATTAAAGAATAATAACATCATCTTGAATGTCTTGATCATTTGTTAGGATAATTACATTGTCTGGGGGTATGTAATCATCGTCATTGATGAATATTTCATCGGATTTATATGATGGAGAATCCACTTCTTCATCTTCATCATCCAATATCTCAATCGTAATAGGCAGATTATCCTTCTTCTTATTAGTATTACCTTTAGGTCTATCCTCCTCAATAATTATCAAATCATTGATAGGTTTCTTTTCATTCTTTTTATCAGTTGAACTGTTAGATATCTGATTTGCTGCTACTTTTGTGAGATCAGAATCACTCTCAATTCCCTTAATGGTTGGATTCTTTTTCGTGAGAAAGTTTTCCATAAATTTCCTCGATTTTTCAATACCCTTATAATTTCCACTCTTTTTCTTTTCAACCTTTTCAGGTTCCTTAATTTTTACAAAACTTCCTCCACACTTCTTCTCATGATCTGCAAACCAATCGTCATGTTTGTTAGGAGCTCTATTCATAGCTCTCTTGACTAACATCGCACATTTCTTGCATCTCCAATGATGTTGACGATAATAATCAACTTCAGCATGAAAAGTATGATAAATTGTAATGTGAATTCCTGTTCCATTTTCTTTGGTGTTGACAAATTTCATCCACCACTGAAAATTTTCACCATGACCCTCTCTATCGACAACATTCGAGTCGATGAATAAAAAAGCATGAATCATTTCGTGTATCAATGTCGAAATGGTATCAATTGGTGGTCTAAACTTTAAAAGGCATTCACTCAAGGATATTGTACAAATTTTCTGAGTGACTTGCTCTTGTTTTTTCAGTATATCATTAGGATCATAATATCCACTCGAAGACACTCTAGGTCCAAATGTTTTTGTTATGGTATATTTCTGATATTGACTATAACAAATTCCAGCACAAAGTGTCATTTTAGAACTCCATCTCAAAGTTGTGCACGTTGACAACTTATTTCTGAAATACTTGCCATCAAAATGAGTAAATAACACATGAACATCAGGTGTTGGTGAATTCAATTCTGCCAATATAATTGCATCACTAAAATTATTCACTGTTTGTTGATTGAAAATTGGTGTATCACATGAATTCTTCTTTCCATTACTAGAACTTGTTTTTGGACAAGAACACAACGACGAACAAACATGTTGTCTATTAGAAGAATTATTACTTGATGATGAAGATGGATTACTCCGAGTTTTGTTTGTATCAAATCTTGGGGGTGGTATAAACTTTTGTGGAGTAAATTCTCTCGGAATATTTTCCATACCATCATCACGTTTAATAATTATACTATTATTATTATTCAAAGGTGCCTTTTTTACATCTGTTGATGATGAAGATGATGCTCCAATTCTATCAGTACTATTGTCTTCATTAGTAGATGAGGATGAGGATGAAACTCTGAGTGTTCTTCCACCTGTGGTGGGAAATGATTTTTGTGTACCCGAAGACGATGATGGTGATGAATTATTGTTGGATGATGAAAGAGTTCGAATATTGGTTGGAGGCATTTTTTTTAATATTGAATAGTGTTATCACTTCCAGCAAATAGTCGAGTTTAATACCCCTTTACAAAAATATTAATTAATATTACTCCTTAAACTATTGTAAAATCTCAACATTCAAGTAACCCTCTAAAAAAATCAGTTTTAACTGTTATTAAGATTTCCAGAAAAAATGAGCAACAGATTAGAAGAACCAGAAGCAGAACAAGTTGTAATCCACTTAGCTGATCATAATGATAATAAGAAAGGTATTCATCGAGGTGATGGGAAAGATTGGTTGTATGAGAAATTATCGGAAAAGATGAAGAGATCATGTAAGGGATTTTCTGGAAAGTTTCAATTGATCAAATCGATCAAGTTGGATGGTCTTCTCTATAATCCTGTCTATCCTTGTGGTGTTGCCTTCGATGATAAGAATGGAGTGTTGGTTATTTCTGATGGTAGCAATAAGAGAATTGAATGTTTTGAATGTGATCAATGCATTGATATTGCTGAGGAATTACATCTTGCACATTTGGGAGGATTTCCTTTGAAGGATATTCCATCTCAAATATTGATTGAAAACAAGGGAATTGTGAATGAGGCAACTGGTCAAATTGATAATGCATTGATTGTTTGTGAGGATAAGCGAATTCTTAAATTGAACATGAGTGAGATTGTTCAAAAACTGAACGAGAAGGAGAGCTTGGATAATATCGAACCAGTGTTGATAATTGATCAGAATCAAACCTCTGATGATAATATCTACATTGGAGGAGCAAATTCTGCTGCCCTAGTTGAAAGAGATGGAAAGAAACAGTTACTACTTTGTTGTGATTATGGAAACCTATTTGGTGATCTGTCAAATGGAACAAAGGATTCCACTTTTACAATAGAGATTTCAAATGGGAATTTACTTAGAGACGGCTGTTGGTTAGGTGATGGTAAACTTGTTGTTTCAAATGAGCCAGAATTGAACGTGTGTTATTACAATGATGGCAAATGGCATGTCGAGTTTTCATTGGATATTTCTGATTTGACAACAGCCCAAAGGTTGCTTTATGATGAAAATCCATTCAGTTCTCTATAGACCGTGGGAGGTGAGAAGGATTGACAAATATTTTTATAAAAAATTTAGAAGTCACTCAAAAAACAAAAATTTGTTAAAGTCGAGCCGAAGGTTTATTGGACCAAGAGTGAGACAGTGTGTTCAAAGTATCAATTACCACTTGTTCTTCTAGAAACAAGTACTTCTGGGTTCTTGTACATGAACCTTCGCTTTAATGTACCAACAATTTCAAGTAAATGGGCAGGCACTTATCTAGATGATGTTTTGGCGAGGTGAATGTAGTAATGGCTGGTGAGGAAGGAAGCAAAGGGAGAACTCTCCTCATGGTGGCTTCTCAAGGTAGCATGCTGAAGGTGGGAATACCAACCAATATACCTATTTAGCAGGGTGATGATGAATTCATGATGAGTAATTGTTGTTTGTTGTTTTTTTTTGTTGAATATTTAACGGTCAGAACAGACAACTTTCAGCGGTTTTTGGTTGGCGCGAAATTACCGTGATGAAACATTTTTTAGCTCACCTCCTTCGGTCTAGTTCTCTATGTTTCAGATTTTTCACAAGGCAAGATTTATGCCTTTGATATGATTTTGAAAAAGAGAATGGGATTTTTCGAATTGGAGAATGCTTATGCCATTAATTTCATTAGAAATGAAGAATATTTCATTTTGGTGGTTACTGACTATAGAGGTGGTTTGCACTTTTACAAATAGGAAATTATTAATGAACATTTTATGTTAATAATATAAATATTAATAAATATTACAAAATATTATTATTGCCCATCAGATTGTGAACTACTATCAGCATTTCCATTAGAAAGGAATGCCTTCTTCATAATACATCCATTCTTTTCCAAACAAATTCCAATAGCCATCTCCAATACAAAATCTCCATCCACTGCCTCGTAACATGGTTGTTTCTTCTGACAACCATAATAGTAGAATTGATCTCTGCATGACTCGAAGAAGGAGCCAATTTCTGGATGGACCTTCTTCATGCAATCCATTCTGCAGGCAACACATTTGATTTTGTCAGAACCACGAAATGTTTCTGAACGTTTGGAGAGTTTGAGATCGAGTGGACCTGTTATGTGGAATGTGGTTGGTTGTTTGTCAATGTAGTATTTTGCCTCTGGTGATATTGGATAGTTTGATGTTGTGGCTGTGGTTGTTGGTTGCGAGGAAGAGCTTTCGGCAGGTTTCTGAAATATTCGAATAACAAAAGACCAGTCAACTTACATTGGTAGTTGTGCTGCTAATTAATTGCTGTTCAGAAGATGGATTATCATTCTCCAATACTACAGCTCTTCGTTTTGAGCTAGATTTCGAGGTTTCTGGAGCTCTGCATGATGAAGCTGTGGCATTCACATAAATGCAACAAACAGACAACAACAAGCATAAAATTAGAAAGGTTGCGAGTGTGATTCTATGTTGTGAAGACATGTTGGTTTTTTTTTCAAAGATGAATTGTTGACAGGTCAAAATTTGGAAGGAGTGATTCGTTCAGCAAGTATTTTGTCAACATATTTAGTTCATAAACTATTAGATCATATAGTTTAATATAACCCTCTGGCCTTAAGTAACTTTGAATCATTTATTGATTCAGTTCTGTATATACCTTGCTCATCAATTCAAAACTCTTAATGAATGGTCCAATCATTCTTGGATTCTTAATCATGCTAAAGTAATCTCCTTTAATAAATTTAAGCCAACCCATAGCATATCCTGAAGCGAGTTGTGACATTCCCATTCCCTTCACCATATAATGTTTCCAATTATCCTCAGAACATCTAATATCCCAATCCAATTCCTCTCCTTCATAAACTTTGGCATCCACCACACTTCCTTCCTTAATAATTAAAACAGTCTTTGGTTGATCCTCTCTTTTAATTCCATAACCAACATTGGCCGAGAAATTGATGGATTTGAGAGTGGATGGAATCGTTTCATCTTGATTCCATAATGTTTGAAATTTAGTCATGAATTCGGAAGTAAACATGTTCTTCTCTAATAAATTAAATAATATAGTTGTTGTTGTTTTAAAAGGCTTATTGTTCCTTTTTTTTGGATTTGAATTATGGTAGTGGCTGAAGATTCTCTTATGCCTTTGAAATATATTTAAGAGCTAAAAAAGCGGCGAAAAGAAATCGGATGCTTTTTGCCCATTTTTTTTTACTTTACAATTTTAACATTATTAAATAACCATGTTTAATATTATTAATATTGATTAATATTTTTGTAAAAAGGATAACAGCTCTGTACTATGAACTTGATCCTTGTGTGTTACCTGCACTATTTATCCACCAGTACATCCAACCTATTGATTAACAATTTAAAAAAAATGTTCAAATTCCCTAAATATGCCATCTCGGTTTCTGACTATGAAGTGGAGCCAAATAATTCTGAAGGTTTGATATCACTCAAAGTTGGTGATCTGATGATTCTCCTTCGTGAGTATGAAACTGGTTTGGGTTGGGCATTGGTTCAAAAAGTGGATATTCGTGATGTTCATCGAAATGGATGTCGAGTCTATGATCATGATATTCCACGTAATGAGAAGCATATTGGTTTTGTTCCGACTGCCTTCTTGGCTGCTCTTCGATTTGAACCACAGAAATTTGATCCTTCTGTGCCACTCGATTTGCAAGTGGCTCTGAGTGAGAATGGAGAAGAGTATCAGAAGAAGATTGGTGTCAGATTTTATATTTATGAAGGATACTATAGAGATAGACATGAGGATGTTTGTATGATTTCAAAGGCAAAACTCAAAACCAATGTACCAAAGATGCACTGTTTGGAGAGTGATAAATTTGAGGATTTTAATATTTCAATGGAGGAATGGGAGAAGAAGAGTGTGGAGGAGTGGAAGATTAAAGCAAGAGAAACTATTGCCCAGCGTAAACCAATTCCTATTCATGATGTTTTCTTGGTGAAAAATTCGAAACATCCTGCTCATTTGCATTGGCTCACCAAAGGTTCCTACGTTGCTGAAACTCTCAATAATGCTCTATTGGCCTATGCTGATAGACCTTGTTTGGGTTATAGAAGAAAAATTGCCAAGGATCAATATGAGAACAAGTATCGTTGGTTTACATATGCTCAACTCCACGAAAGAGTATTGAGATTCGGTAATGGGTTGAGAATTTGTTTCAATAATGAAAAGCTCTTGACTCAACACAGAGAAAATCAAAAAGAAATCAACAGAGGATTCGTTGGCATTTGTTCAATTAACAGACCTGATTGGTTTGTTGCTGATTGGGCTGGATTGACTCAAGCTATGGTTACCATTCCACTTCCAAAAGCTAAAGTTGAATGCCTCTCTGAAGATATTGTAAATATAGAATCAAAGGAGGATATGAAAATGATGTCCCACGAAATTATTCAAGTGGTAAATAATTCACAAGTTCCACTCATTGTTTGTAGCAGAGAATTGACTGTCAAATTTTTAAAACTCATCAAGAGAGGTCTCTTACCATCTGTGAAGGCCATTATACAAATGGATGCCCTGATTGTTGAGGAAGAGGAAGTGCCATCATACCTCCAATCTGTACAAGAAAATAATGTTCAAGACCTTGTCAAAAATAGAAGAAGATCTCATTTGGAAGGACTCAAAAAACTCACCAATTATACCAAGGATTCCAGTGACTTTTTGAGATATTATTATTTATTGAAGAACAGATATCCAGATACCAATATTAACATGAACACTTCACTAGCAGACTTGTGTGATTGGAATGCTTCAGATGAAGATTTTGTCCTCTTAAATTATATTAGTGAAAATGATATTGAACTTGATTTCAAGGCTAGAGTGTTGGCCAAAGAGCTCTCCGTAGAATTGAAAGATATGAACTATGTGGAAATGTCAACTATTAATGAATATCCAACATTTTCCGATGAGCTCAGAGTTGCCATCAAGACTAATAGAAATGTCGAGGATATGTGCACAATTGTCTATACTTCTGGCTCCACATCTACCGAACCAAAAGGGGCCATCATTACAGATAGACACTACAACAAACAACTTCAACATGAACTCTACCAAAATCATCCCCTTGTGTGTGTTTCCTTCTCACCACTCTCTCACGTTACTGACAGATCCAACACAACAATTTGTGCTATTAATGGTGGCCGAGTTGGTATTTATTGTGGTGAAATGGATAAAATTTTGGAAGATTTCCAATTGATTCAACCTGTAACACTTTCCACTACACCAAGATTCTACAATACTCTCCTCGCTGAATATCAAAGTAGATTGAAGAGAAATGCTAGTAGTAGTGAGCCAGTCTCTGAATTTTTAATTTTGAATAATTTCAAAAATATTTTAGGAGGAAGAATAACTTCAATTGTAACAGGTGGCGCTGCAACCTCCCCTGAAGTAATTAAATTCCTTCGTGACTGCTTCAAGGTACCTGTTTTCAATGGGTATGCCTCAACTGAGTGTGGATCCATTGGTTGGATTGATAGAGGAGAATTGGAGCAAGTGTATATTACAGACAAGACCAAGAAGGACAATGAAAATCTTCCATCTCACATGCTCCTAGTTGACGGTGTCACCATCAAGTTGGAAAATGTTCCAGAACTCTCCTATTACATTACCGATCAGCCAAATGCTAGAGGTGAAATTTGTGTAAAGAGTGAAGATTGTATTCCTGGCTATTATAGAGATGCTCAAAAGACCAGTGAACTAATTGATAGCGAAGGATTCTATCATACAGGTGATATTGGTGAGATTTCAAAGAGTACCTACAAGGTTAAAGTTATTGATAGAAGAAAGAATATTTTCAAGTTAGCTCAAGGTGAATTTGTAGCTCCTGAAAATTTGGAAAATCTCTTCATTTCCAAATCTCATTTCATTGATCAAATGTTCTTGTATGGAAATTCATTCAGATCATTCATGGTTGCTGTCATTGTTCCAAAGAACGTTCCAATTTTGCAAGAGCAAGTTGCCACTGTTTTGAAAGAACAAAACTTACCAGTACCAGACGCGATGGATCTCTCGAGAGGAAGTGTCGCTTATCAAATCATTCAAAAGGAAATTATTACTGCAGCAAGAGAAGGAAAATTAGAGTCCTATGAATCTCCAAAGGCATTTATAATTGATTTGGAAAAATTCACACCAGACAATGGTAAATTGACCAGCTCGTACAAGATTTGTAGACCAGCCCTCAATAAGGCCTACAAGGAAGCTCTCGACAAACTCTATACTCAAGTGGAAAAGGAAGGTGACATCACTCAACTCGAAACTGTTGAAAATAAGGAACAATTGAAGACTATTATTCAAAACTTGTTCCAAAGTGGAGGTGTTATTGATTCTTTGAGTACTGTTCGTCTATCGAACATCTTGATGCAAAAGTTTGGTATTGTTGTTGGAGCTGACAAGTTACTCTCTGTAAAGAATCATGATAATCCAGCAGAGAAAATGTTGGAAATTATTGACCATGCCATGCAAAATCCAAATCAAGCAATGTCTGAAAAATCTGCAAGATTTGCCTCCAATAATGCCTTGGAAGAGGAAGTTAGAAGCTTGCTCTCTCAAGTACCATCTATTGACACTGCCACCATGAATACCTCTTGTTTGCATGAAACACCAAAGAAGATTTTATTGACAGGTGTTACAGGTTTTATTGGAAGTGGTTTGCTATGTGAACAATTGCTACTTTATCCTGAATCGATTGTTTATTGCCTTGTTAGAGCTAGCTCCGAAGAGGAAGGTAGAAGAAGAGTGTTAGATAATATTGTCCAATACACTCAAGGTTTGGACTCTAATGTTATCAATGCCGTTCAAAACGGATTTGAAACGAGAACTAGAGTTTTATGTGGAGATTTTGGCTTGCCACAATTCGGATTGGATAATCAAATGATCAGCACCTTGTCAACAGAGTTGGACTCAATTATTCACTGCGGAGCTAATGTTAATTTTATTATGAATTATGATCAATTGAGAACTGTCAATGTACAAAGTGTTGTTGAATGTCTCAAGCTTGCAACTTCTGGAAACAAGCTCAAGACTCTTCACTTTGTCTCCTCCATCAGTGTAGTACCTCACAACATGGCCAAGTATAACACCGTTGTAAATGAAGATTTCGTTCCACTCACTGTTGAAAACTTCCAATTATTGAATGGTGGTTATCCACAAACCAAGTTTATCAGTGAACACATTCTCAGATTAGCCATGGAAGAGAAGAATATTAAATCAATTGCCATCTATAGACCTGGACTAGTTGTTGGTCATTCAAAGAATGGTTTCTCCAGTGTCAGAGAATGGATCAGCAGATTAATGTGTGGTATGATTCACTTGGGTGTTGCACCAGAAAATTCTACTGACAGTATTCACATGCTTCCTGTTGATTTTTGTGCCCAGAGTATTGTAGCTGTGGTCAATTCAAATCAACTCTATCCTTCTCTATTTGCTCAAGATAAGACAGTTAATAATATTTTCAACGTTATTAACACCAATAGAAATAATCCTATGGCTACAAGAAGTGTCCATGCCATTGTCCAAGTTATGAAAAAGATGGGATTCAAGGTAAATGAAATTCCATATGGCCAATTTGTTGAAATCTTAATGAAGGAAATGGGCAATGCTCACAAGTATCCAAACATGACCAATGAAAATACAATCTTTGGTATCTTGAATTTGTTCCCTGCCCAATATGACAGATTGTACACATCCTCAAAATTGGACACTCGTCTTGGATGTGCCAATCTAACTCATGCTTTAGAAGTTTATAATTCAAACAATGGTTCAACAGCAATTTCTTGTCCACTAATGAGTGATGAACACTTGATAGAGTTGGAACTCAAGTACTTTATTAGAAGTGGAGATGTTGAGCCTCCACAATAAATTATTTAAATTATTAAAAGTTAATTAAATATTGAATGAGGAAGAGGAATATGGTCAAAAATGATCCAATGATTGAAAAAGAAATATTTGCATTGGATTCTCTGGCAAATTTGGTTGAATTTTGTGTAAATATTGAACTTGTTGGAATCACTTTAGGATAACTCTGATAGAAAGCAATGCTAGCATTAACAAATGCAATAGGTCTAGCATGATTTGTAGTTAATGCCCAATTGGAATCTCCTGAAAGAAGCTCCACTTCTACTCCAAACTTTGAATTCCACTCCTGAATTGTACTTTTTGTAATATTCCAATATTTAGAGTTGACCATTAAATATTCTGCTTCCAAATAAACTCTCCTCAATTTACCATTCAATATTTTAAGATCATCCATAAATATCTTCCTCACCTCCTCTACAAGAATTACACTATTATCCCAAACATACAAATCCCTCCTTAATTGACCAATTGGTTTTGTAAAATTTGCAGTAAAAACTTTCCAATTTTTCCAATCATGTACACATAGCGCCTCAAATGAAGATCTATTCAATGAAAATGCACTATCAATCAATTGCAAATCACTCTCCAAATCACTTGCATTCTTTCCATAATAAGTTGAGGTCGGTTCACTTGGTAATTGCATTGTTTCTAATCCAATTACAGATTTAGTTCCAGAAATGGATCCATATTTGATTTCATCTTGGGCATCATTGATGGCTCTATATTGAATTTATGAGAATTTTCAAATGAAATATTGTTTAACATACCTCTGTGCTGTGTTAACATAATCCATAATCATTAAGTGAGCTCTGTCTTGGACGAATTGACTTAAATATTTAGTAACACCATTACGGGTGATTGAAATTCCATCAAACCAACGAGGAATTGCAAAACGAAGAGGAAGAGGTGGTTTCAAAGCTAATAATTTATCTATCAAATCCAAGAATTGATTGGCAACTCCTTGTCTGTCACTTGTCCATTCCGAAAGTGTGTACGGTTCAATGTCAAGTTGAATGGTTGTCACGGGTATTTGTGCATGACATGAGGTGAACAATGTAGCCAGCAGAAACAATGTGATAAGTTTCGACATTTTTTTTAAACTATTTTTTAGCTATTTTGGGTGTGAAAAATGAGGTCCAATCAGAGCCTATTATCTCAGTGAATTTAATGAATTGAATAGATGATTTTTGAGAAATAGATGAAACTTCGTGTACATTTGCTTTTATAAAAAATTGATAAGCCAAATATTAAAAATTATAAAAATAATTGATTTTTGATTGCGTCGACCGGGAATTGAACCCGGGTCACGGCGATGGCAACGCCGTATTCTACCACTAAACCATCGACGCTTCCCATTCATTTAGAATGTAATCTTCAATTGAGAACTCTCATAGTAAATCAGACATTAATTGAACTCGTAATTGCTCAATTATTTCCTTAAAGGATCAAAAATGAGTTTTATTTCCACATCAAAGCTCATTACAATGATTAAAACTCTTCAAATGAATAGAGAATTGAAGTTGGACATCTGATGGAAGATCAAGATTTGCATGGACATAATCTACGGTGATTACTCTTTGATTTCTTGTTAGAACATGAGAATCTACTTGGTCTATATCCAACATAGCAATCTTTGTTAGTGTCCATACTTGGTGCTATGGAACTGAAAAATTCATCATCGATCTTACAATTACATCTCTCTTTTGAATGTTTCTGTATTTCTCTGCAATGGTTAATGTAGGGGAAGAATGAAACATCACAAGTTTTAGCTCTCTTTTTGCAACAAGTGTCACAATCCTCTCCTTCTTCACACAATACACTTTCGACCTTATTGAGCTCTGAGAGAGTAATTTTTAAAGTAGGCGGTTTGAGTGGAAATTCAAATACATCGTGTGAAAATTGAAGCTTTTTTGGTCGATCACATGGAGAAAACAGTGAGTGAGCACAGTATAATTTGTACTGATTCATGATTTGAGAGTAGATTTGAGTTTCATAGCAATGAGGGAAAGTCAAATCCATCATTTCCTGATCTCTATCATTACCAACTGAAGATATTTTTCCAATATGTTCCATCAATTGATATCTGTAGGTAAAGAATTCTCTATTTTTGAAATAGTCCTTTCCCATCTTTGTTTTCTTATTTAAAAATTCTTCCAAAAGATTGTCAATTGGGAAATCCTTAAAAGCATACTCTTCACACATGTAAATCATTTGCGGAAGGTCTCTCCTTTGAACGAGCACTCCATTGAGTCCAAAAGAGAATCTCACTCCTGAAAAGAGTTCTGGATCTGAGGCCTTATTGAGAACGTGAATAAAGTGAGATGATACATCCTCACACATTACAAAATCATCCTCCATAAAAACTACATTCCTCTCGAGTGTGGACACATTCAAAAAGGTCTTCATCATGTCAAAAAAGTTGTTGGATTGATTCTTTTTCTTTTGACTCATTGAAGGAGATTGGAAAATATCACTCCTATACTGATTTTCCAATATTCTAAACCGTTTCCATCCCCTAACTTGCTCAGGAATAGCCTCCTCAAGCTCACTTCTCCATATTGGATTTGGATTGAACACAGTTACACACGGCATAAAGATGGTATTTCCCAATTGTGAATACAAGCCATTAAGCGTTGATTTTAGATAGTGATATCTGGATCCTTCAATTTCCAGCCTAGGTACAGTCAATATCAACATGTGAAACAGACATTGCTCATCAAATTGATTGTCCAATACTTGTTGTTCTTGTGATTCTTGGACCCTCTCCATTGTATGATTATTTTGAATTGGTGATATTTCCTGTATTTGTATTGATGTAGTATTATTATCATAATGAATATGTTCGGTATTATTATTATTGAGTAGCACTTGATGATGAGGCTGATCTTGTTCGGGAGTAGCACCTTGTTGTATCATCCACATGACATTCACCGCCAGTAATACAACATTGATGATGAGCACAAGATGAAGAAGTGGTGCCTTCATTATTTTTTACTTTGTTATTGTATGATGATAACATTGTGAATATGTTTGGTATTGGAAGTGGCCAAGCCTAGTTTTTACAGTTAGCCGTTGACCATGAATGGAATGTGTGGTTCTTGCTTTGAGTTAGAAGCAACATGTTTTTCCGTAACACAACAATTTTGCAATTTTGTTTTAATATTTTTTAATAAATTTTTAATTAATTTTCACATTTCTTTTATAATTTGGTAGAGCATAATGTATCAGCATCCTTGATTGTTGACATGAATCCAAAACTTTCCTTGGCAAGCATTTTCAAGTGATCTGGATCATTTCAATAATTACCAAATAATAATAAATCCAGTCTCATTGAGTGAGCTTTCAACTCATTAGAAATTGTACTGAGGCAAACCACTATTCATCAATAATGAATTATTACTAGTCATATTATTACTACCACCTAAAAGATTATCACTATCTAATTTCGTTCTTTTACCTAATAAAGGGTATAATGAATTACTATTATTATAATCCATTGATGATGAATATAATGATGGAGGTGGCATGAATGGTGAAGTAGTAGTCGATTTAATTGGAGGTGATTCTTCCATGGCCAATAATGAATTTCTATACTCTGCACATGAAACTACATGTTTAGATAATGCAGAGAAGTGTACTTGTCTCATACACAAAGGACATACTGGTTTAATTTGTTCCCTTTGATAATGTTCTTCAACACCCAAATAATAGGAGAGAGCCTCACGTGGTGGAATGGAAAAGACAGAAAATGTTTTATCCTGATTGGAATTTTCAATAATATTATTGGCGTGATCAAAGGCTTTTTTTGCTTGCGGATCGACATTATTAAAATTATCAAAGGATTCCTTGTTATTGGTAGATGATGATGAAGATGATATGGACATTGATGGAGGTACGGATGATGACATTGAGATTGTTGGAGGTCCCAGTGGATGGTACGAATGCAGGGAGTTTAGTGTGGGAGTGTATTGTTGTTGTTGCATTGTTTGGAGTGTTCTACTAATTTGAGTAGAAGACAGAGATGATGAATGCTGGTTGTTGATCATTTTTTCTGTTTTTTGCAAATTATGGAAACAGAAGACATTGATGTTGAAGATGATGAACAAGTGTCAGAAATTATTGATTTATTAAAGACAAAGAAGAGTACCACCGAAGTTGCTCAAAGTCCCTCAACAAGAAACAATCTGCTTACCAAACCACTGGAGGATACTACTGGAGTGAAGATAAGGATGGTGAAGGTGATATGAAAATTCTGGAAGGGATTTGGCTTCACTTCTGGCCAAGGATGAAGACCATGGTCAACAATGAACACATTCTTTTGAGGACTAGTGAACCTTAAAAGAGGAGTACTTGTGATAGATGAAATATTTATTGGAATTAGAAAGTTGATACAACCATGTTGAATAATGACTGTTGATAATTACACTTTCAAAAAAAACAAAAGAAACATGCTAAGAAGAACTACTCAAACACTTTCTCTCAACAAGCAATTAGCAAAACTGACGCAACGTTCCTTCTCTCTTTCGAATATCACCTTGCAAGTTGAAACACATTCAGGTAGCACGGCACAATGTCCTAATCTTCACAAGAACGTCCGTTAAGTCCAACACAACCTCTCAAGAGTTTTGACGAAATGCCGGGCCCAAAGGGATTGCCATTCATAGGACAAGCTTTAGATTTGTTCAAGAATGCCAATAATCCAAATGCTTATTTCACCGAATTGGCCAATCAATATGGGGATTTTGTAAAGATTAAATTATTGAATAACAAGATGGTCATTTTGTCAGATCCAAAGGCAGTTCGTGAGTTAGCAAGAGGGGAAGAAGGAAGATTAACTCTTCATGCATCAAGACATTACAAACTTGAAAAGGGAATGATTAGGGTTACAATGGACTATTTCAATCATGAGAATTGGAATGATATTCGTCAAGTTTTGAATATTCCCCTCAAGCCACAATATTTCAACGAAGTCATTTTGCCACAATTGACTGAATTGAACAATGAATTATTGAAATCATTTGTTAATACCTTGAAATTTGATGAAAATTCAAAACAATATTATTTTGCTGATCCAATGTATGATATTATGAGTCAATTCGCCTTTAGTGCAGTAATCAAAGTATTCTTGGGTGTTAAAGTGACTGAAAAGGAATTGATTGAAAAATTAGGATTCACAGTTAGACAGTATATTAAGGATGCTGTTGATACTACTGATCTAATCCTCAAACTTCAATACCAACCAGGTCTTTACAAGTACGGCTACAAAACAAAGGATTATAAGGATTTTGAAGAGTTGAGTGATATTTCCTTTGGACGTGGATTCAAGCTTGTTGATCTTTTATCTGATCGTTATGATGGTAAAATTCCAAGACTCAAAGAATTGGTCGAAGAAAGAGCAAAGATGGCTGGTTTTCTTTCTGAAGCAACAACTACTGTACTCTCTGCATTCATGATTGGTGGTGTCGATGTTACAGCTCGTATGATGACTACTTTGTTGTATAGAATTGCTCACGAAAAGGAGTGGGCTCAGAAATTATATGAAGAGACAGCTCAAGTATTTGGTGAACCAACTGCTGATGAATTGACAAGTGCAAGTCACCCCAGAACATATGAAACAATTGAAATTATGTAAATTGTTCATTGATGAACTCATGAGAGTGGACAGTGTTATTCCAGTAAGAAACTCTCGTCTATTGACCAAAGACACTATTCTTGGCGCTTACAAATTAGAAAAGGGAACCCAGGTCTTATTCTTGGATGTGCCATCAGTTCAATCCAAATATGTTCCACGTGGAATTGAATTTCTTCCAGAACGTCACATCAAGGGATCTGAAATAAGCGAGCCAAAGGATTACCTTGGCCCATTTGGAACTGGAGCTCGTAAATGTCCGGTAAGTATTTAATAATTATATAATAGTAATATTAATCAATTATTATATTATATAATCGTGAATTGTAATAGGGAGAAAGAGTTGCCACTAATGAAATTTACTTTGCCTTAATAGCATTAGTTAGACATTTCAAGTTGACTCATTCCAACGGAAATGAATTTCCACCATTTTCAGTTGAAAAGAGTATGTACTATATGGATCCCACCAAATATAGAGTATTTTTCACTCCAAGAGATCATTTACTTCCATACTTTAAATAGATTCCTCTAATTAAACTACTATTTTTCATTAGGAGGCAGTATATATACAGATTGGGAGATATTCTAAAGTATTAAATTTAAAAACCTAATAATCTCTATCTCATGTCTTTTGCCCATTATTTTTGATAAAAATGTTATTGAACTGAACATTTCCTTTTTGTGTCATCCTGTTTTTGCTTTTCAATTGATTTCAAATGTTGAAGATGTATCAATCTAAGTAAAACAAGTTTCTGGAGTAGATATTCTATACCTTTCTTTGTTTTAGAACTTGTTTCAATAAATGATATTGCTCCTATTGATTTTGTAAACATGATTCCATCTTCTGGAGAAATTGCTTCTTCCATTAATAATGGATCCAATAAACTATTCCAATAACATTCTTCTTTTAGATCATTCTTTGTTGAAACAACGACAAAAGTTGCATTTGGCTCGGAAAGAGTAGATTCCCACAGTAGATGTTCAGCCAATTGTTTTAAACTTGACCAATCATTAATAGCATAATTTAGAGTAAATATAGTTGTGTCAGGATAACCAAGTGGTCTTAATTTATCATACTCTTCATTTCCAACTATTTAACTTAATAGTATTATTTTCCAAATTGTTAACTTACCAGTGTCCCAAAATCCAAAGTGAAAACTAACTTTTCTTTCTTCTCCTTTCTTGTTGATACATGAAACTAGCACAGCTGCATTGTATCCATCAAAAACTTTAGGGGTATACTCAAAAGGGAATTCTACTCCACTAATTGTCATGAATAAACTTGTTTTACCAACATTCATTCCCATACTGACCCATTTCTCATACTGTATGGATTCATTCAAATTATCCACAATCATTGGCTCTTTCAAATACTTTGAAAGAGAGTCTTCTTCAATAAAACAAGCTTGTTCAATTCTCTCTCTAATCAATCCTTCACATTCTGGAGTTTTGAACCTTTTGTTTAACTTGGCAATTTTTGATAATTTATCAGAAAGTGAGTGAATGTATAACTTTCTGTCATGTCTTGTTTTCTGAATTAACCTCCAATTCTCTGAACCAATTCTCTTCCACATATATTTAATAAATTTCAATCTAATATTCCCACCATCATTCCAATCATCATCATTAAATATTTCAATCGGAGTTATTGATTTTCTCAATAATTTGTTAATCCTCATAATTTTCTCATTCATATAATCCTCCCAAAACTCATCTTTCCAACAATAAATCATCAAACAATTTCCAAATTTTAAATCCAAATATGTTTCATTATAAAATCCCTTTTCAATTTCTGTAGAATCGGATCGATAAATCAAACTTGCTAAATTATTAATTTCATTCCTATTGAGAAATTCCAAAATACAAATAATCGATGCCTGATCAAGTCTATTTTCCAACAAGAAGAAATTATCATCATCGATAACAGACATTTTTTTATTGCAAATTATTAAAAAAATTAAACTTACAATTTTCTTTTATCAAAGATTCAAACTAAAACTGTTGTTTCCTGACGAAAGAAATTTTTGTTAAATATTTTGTTATCTATTAATAAATATTTTTAATAATATTTATTAATTGATTATTGGAGTAGTTTCCCACACATCTAGTTCGATATTACATTCATTGGAACCTCTAAGGATCCAGAACCAACCTTGCATACCCCACTCTTCTGTCCAATTATTTCCACAAATCCCTAAATTAGAAATTTTCAATTTTTCAATTTTAAAAAAATACACAAAGTTAATAAAATTCCTAAAAGTACATACAATATGGAATGCTTCCCTGTTGAGGAGAGGTAATTCCCCACCCAACAATCCTCACTGAATGAGTAAACATGTAATTTCCCACCAAATGTCTATACACACCACCCCTGTATTGCACAAAATCTCTGTAAATATCGAGAGAGGCAGCTAGAGAACCTCCGTTCATAATGCTCAATTGCATTCCTTGGATGTCCTGTGGAAGGAAGGCACGGGAGTTGTTGACCTTGAAGAGGGTGAAAGGATTATAGGCGAGACACTTTTTTGGACAAGGGGGAATGTAGTTCCCTTCACCTGAAACGAATGGAAAGCAATTTTCAGTGACTGTGAAACAAGTTCATGAGAAAATTTGTGAGTTTTCAACTTACCAATGCCTTGATTTTCAACAAATTGAAAGGCAGTATCGAAATATCCATAACTACAACCACCATTGTTGGAATCGCATGAAATTAAGTATTGAGGCGATAACACTTCATTCACTTTCGTCTTGGATGAAACACAAAATCTATCAGAAACAACTTCAGCAACTACAAAGGCCCAACATCCACATTGTTGTTCATCTCTAATGAGTGATAATTGTTTACATGAGGAAAATTTTGGATCTTCCAATAAGGAATAAGCTGGAGGAATGGAATAGTTTGAAATTTTCACAATCTTTGAGTTGACTACTGAATAGTTATTTTTTACATGTTGACCTTTTCTTCTCCTTAAATGTGAACCTCTATTTAGGATGTCTTTGAGTTTTCTTCCTGTGAAAACTTTGTTATTTCCTGCTTGCCACCAACCTCTCGTATGTTTGTTAATAAAATTGTTGAAATTTTCATCATGAACTGGTAAATTTTCCCAAGCAATATCTGATTCAGGATGTGCACTTTCATAGGAGTGCTTGTTTTGCAACTGTTTTCCTTCTAAATTGTTGTTAAATTGGCGTATTTGAGCTGCTTCAACTTTGCAGTTCCACACCGCAAGGAGAGCCAGCAATATTCCAATGCATAGGGTTATATATAATTTAATGATGATGATGACGGTCTTGTATTTTGACTCATTGTTTTACAGTTGTTCTTTTTGACCAGAAACTCCTCTTTAGAAACTCCCAATACGGAGTTTACAACTCCTGCAAAAATTTATTAAGGCCAGTTGTTTCTTTAATTTAGCCATGAATTGGCCAGTTCGGACAATGGATTGTGAACTAGTAACTCTCTTGATTTTAGAATATTTAAAGTGATTACAGAATGACGAAATTAATTTCGAACTTGAATTTGTTTCCTTCTCAAAATTTCTGAACTCTTGACCTAACTGCAAAATTGCAGAATAATAATTTATTCACCTGAAGGAGAAAATTGCATTTATGAAATGAAAAATAATAATGCTTTAATCAATTGTCATTTTCTCCAAACTTTCTTCCAATGCATCCATTTTCTTTCTGGTATTGGCAACCTCTTCTTGGATGCTCTCAATTTCCCTATTGATTTTTTGAGATTCGTTCTTTTCAGGTCTGAACTGGAGTACACTTTGTAATTCTGCTTGAACTTCTAGTAATTCTCTTAACGTGTATTCGAATTCTATACATTTCTTGCGTAGAAATTGGGTTTTCATATTTTTATATCGGATCATGTCGATTAGTTGATTCTTTACCTCAGAAATGTCGAATAATTCATCACAGGATTGATTTGAATCTCCTGAAAGTTTCGAATAATTTTTGATCAATGATTTCCAAAAGACTTCCGACTGCAAAAGTTGATCATGTGTGGATTTGTTGATGGATAGAATTTTTCCTAAATGTATGACCGATAGATTTGAAAATATTTCAATTTGTAGCTCTGATGGCAGCTCACTGAACGTTGACATTTTTTTTACTTACCTTTAATAAAAGATCCTTTTGACTTTTTATAAGTTCTGCGAACTGGAATCATGGAGATTCTCAATTATCAACTGAGATTTAACAATGCAATTTACAATTTTTTCATTTACAATTTTGAGTGAGAAATGAGAATTTAATTGGAAAAATCTAAAAAATTCTTCAAAGATTTCTTTATTTTCAAAGATTTGAAATGATTGGAATTGCAGCTTCAGCATCACTTTCAATAAATCCAGTGTTATCACCTCTAGCAACAAGACCACGACCTTTCATTCCCCAATCTTTAGATCCCCAAGAATTTTGAATATTCCAATATTTTTGACCAGTTGACTTGTCGATTCCCCATCCATAAATGATTAATGTGTGATTAATGTAGTAAAATTTGGGTAATTTCTTATCTGTTGATGAAGTTTCGTATTTTTCTGTTGGAATGTGAGTATAAATACCACTCTTGTAATAGAAAAAGTCATTGTAAACCATAAATCCAGCAACAATTGGACCTCTTTTCAAGACATCCATCATAATGTTCAATTCATTTGAAGCTCCATAATAACCACCAACATTGTAATAATTCGAAACTCTCAATTTTGTACATGCAGTTTGTTGATTGATGGTGCATGTTTGGGCAACTCTCATTGAGGCATTGTAAGGGAGACATTGATCGAGAACGAGTCCATAATCTTGTACATATTTGGAGGCAAGATAGACACATCCTCCACTGCAGCTATAGTTTTTTGATAAAACAAAATTAGAAATGTTTAGAATAATGAAATTCGAAAGATTGAACCTACCCTTGAGAATAAGGACTACAATCGACAATGGCTTGTGGAGAGAATATGTCGGTTTTGGAAAGACCGCTCTTAATTCTAACTCTCATTCCAAGCATTTCACTGGTGCCTTAATTAAATAATATTCGAATATTAGTTTTACAGAATCTGAAACTCACCGAAAGCAAAGCATGATCCACAACTGTACTGGTTTCTCACAGGGGTCAAATAATCTTGACCATTCACATCTTCCCATGAAAATTCTTCAGGAATTTTTGAAATTTCCTCATCACTAATCCATTCATATCTGTCAATTTCACCATTGAATATGAATTGACCTCCAGATGAGGGATGACGGGTGGTAGCTTTCTTTTTCAATTCATTGTTGATAAAATCTCTGGATGCAATAGAAACTCTTTTTTGTTTTTTGAGATAAATACTTTTCAATTGACCAATTGTCATTCCTTTAAATTGATTATTGATTGATGCCTTCCAACTCTTTTGTACCTTATTTAATTCTTCTACATATTGATAATCTTCATATTTTCTATCATCTCTCTCAGATCTACCCTCTACATTTCCAGAACTCAAACTGACATCTGTCAAAAATCTTTTAGCACTTTTTGGCACCTTAATCCTATCACCAATAAAGCATCCCCACTTGGCAGCGTTCACAGAATTATCGTGATAAGTACCCATAAGAATTCTACTACAATTTGAAGTAGAAACTCCCTCTGCATTCATAGTATAATTAAAAAAGGCAAAATATCTGAAATTTGAAAAACGAATTTCCATTCCTTGATTCCAAATTAAGGTCCATTTTCCTTTTTGGACAACTTTACTGTTTTTCTTAAGAAGAGCAATATCTGGAACTTTTAATGCAACATTGAATGTTTCAATTGGGGATTCCTGTGGGAGATTGGCTTTATCAATGCTGCATTGATTGTAAATAACTTGATTATCATAGATTGGTTTAGTTTTTTGGAATGACCA